GCTCCCAAACCTCAAGGAAAGACTGGTTCTTTCAACTGCTATCGTTATGGTGAAGAAGGTCATATGGCAAGAAACTGCAAGGGCGCTCCAAAAGCGCAAGTGAAGGCTACTGAAGTGCCAAAGGAAGACTCGATGCCCCAATGGTTTAAAGACTATGTCAAAGCCAAAGGAGATAAGGGTTTTTTAGAGAGGTCTGAGTTAGAGTCTGCGGACTTGGACCCGAACAATCATTTCTCCATCTTATCTACGTTCTCGGATGTAACAGAAGTATATTTGCGATCGAAATCAGAGCATTTTTACATTCCGATTACCTTGAAAGGAAAGGATCGACAAGCAGACGTGAAAGCACTTGTGGACTGTGGTGCATCAACATTATTTATCAATGAGAAGTTTGTGAAAAAGAATGATGTAATATGCCGTAAATTATTAAGGCCTATTCCGGTTAAAAACATAGATGGTTCTTTAAACACCGCTGGATCGATGACTCATTTCGCTGAACTAGGTCTAAAAATCGGTGACCATGTAGAAGACAAAGCAGCCTTCATGGTTACAGACTTGGGAAGCGATGATGTTATTATCGGCATTGACTGGTTAAGATATCATAATCCAGAAATAGACTGGAATGCAGGACAGTTTTCGTTATCTAGGTGTCCGCTTAAATGTATTACGAAAAAGGAACAAAGACAAAAAAATAGAGAAAACAGAAAAGCACAAAAACAGGCAGATGTGATTCCAGATGTGATTCCCACAGAAGAGGATGACGATGAAGACATGGAGATGAAGAAGGCGACCTGTGAAGAGGTGGAAGATGAGGAAAGTCCTGAAAGATGGATTAGATACAAAGCCTCGGTTGCCACGGAGCAGAAGGTAGCAGAAGAAGCTACGAAAAAGAAGAAGTCTGTAGAAGAGATGGTTCCAGACTGGCTTCACGATTACCTGGGAGTGTTCTCAGAAGAAGAGTCCAAACGATTCCCTGAAAGAAAGAAATGGGATCATGCTGTGGATCTTAAAGACGACAATGATCTTCCTCCAAACGCGAAACCGTACCCTTTGTCACCAAAAGAGATGGACACCTTGAAAGATTGGTTAAAAACCGAGACTGCACTAGGACGAATTAGAGATTCACAATCTCCAGTTGCAGCACCTTTCTTCTTTGTGGCCAAAAAAGAAGGCAAACTGAGACCTGTAATGGACTATAGAAGGCTTAATGAGAAGACGGTGAAAAATGCATACCCGCTACCGAGATCTCAAGACCTGATTGATGCCCTTACTGGTGCCACGATGTACTCCAAGATGGATGTACGATGGGGGTACAATAATATTCGGATGAAAGAAGGAGATGAATGGAAGGCAGCTTTCAAAACGCCTTTTGGTCACCACGAACCAACCATAATGTATTTTGGGTTGACGAACTCTCCAGCAACTTTCCAGACCATGATGAATGAGATATTCAGAGACTTAATAGACGGCAAAACAGTGGTCGTTTATATTGATGACATCCTGGTTTTTACAAATGGAAACAGAGAGCAACACCAGAAAGTCGTGCGAGAAGTATTCAAATGGTTAAAAGAGAACGACCTGTACTTGAAGCCTGAGAAATGTAGCTTCGAACAGTCTAAAGTCGAGTTCCTTGGGTTGATTGTGGAAAAGGGCAGTGTGTCTATGGACCCCATCAAGGTAGAAGGAGTATTGACATGGCCTGTTCCCAAATGCGTAAAAGAAATACAAGCATTCATGGGCTTTGCCAACTTCTATTGAAGATTTATACTTGGGTTTTCAGACATTGCCAGACCAATGAATGATTTGCTGAGAAAAGATGCCAAATGGGATTGGACAGAGAGACAGCAAAACACCTTCGATGAGTTAAAGAAGCGTTTTACAGAAGCTCCCGTCTTAGTAATGCCAGACGTTGAGAAGAAAATGAAAATAGAAACCGATGCTTCCGATTATGCAACAGGAGCAGTTTTATCTCAACTAATGGAAGATGACCTATGGCACCCAGTGGCTTATTACTCGAAGTCGATGAACGATGCAGAAAGAAATTATGACATCCACGATAAAGAGTTATTAGCAATCATTCGAGCGTTGGAAGAGTGGAGGCACTATGTGCAGGGAAAACCCCAACATGTGGAGATCTGGACGGATCACAAGAATCTCGAGTATTTTATGACGAGTCAGAAGTTGACAAGAAGGCAAGCCAGATGGAGTTTATTCCTGGCGGAGTATGAATTTACGCTCCAACATAAGCCTGGTGTAGTCAATGACAAAGCTGATCGTCTATCTCGGAGAGAAGACCACAGAGGGGGGGTAGAAAACGATAATTCTGACCGCATTTTGTTGAAACCGGAATTTTTCAAAGTCAATGCTGCTAAACGAGGCCAAATTCTCATAGAAGGAGAAAGTTCGCTCATGAAGAAGATAAGAAAGAGCACAGAACGAGAGCCCGAAGTAATGAAAGCGTTAGAAACGCTAAAGGCAACACCGGTACAATTGCGCAGAGGAATCGAAGAATGGAATGTTGAGGACGGATTGGTGTTATTCCGAGGACTGGTATACGTTCCAAACGATAAAGAGATCCGCCGAGAAATATTGGAGTTGTTTCACGATTCTCCACCGGCTGGACACCCGGTGTCTTAATAACCGAGGGTCTTATATGAAAACGTGTAAGAATGTAATGACACCACAATTACACTGGATAAGACTTCTTGCCAGTCCTCGATTAACACGGTCTACGACTTTTCTTCTTTCGTGGTAGATAACGTGTGAGTTCTTGGGAGGCTCGCTAAACCAATCAGTCAGATTAACTTAGCCGGAGCTTTATTATCTCTGATTGAAACTATGGGATTGTCTAGGATATACCGTCTAGACACTTGAACTGGTTTCCTGAATATATGGTTAACTGTTGAGAAGCTGGTCTCAAATGTGACTACGTGGACCAAAGCTCGTGTTGGTCAATCTACAAATACCTGGTGAGAACGCTGGTCTCACAAATAACAACAATGACAAATAAAAAAAAAAACAATGACAAATAACAACAATGACCAAAGCTCGTGTTGGTCAATATACAAATACCTGGTGAGAACGCTGGTCTCACAAATAACAATGTTGACCAAAGCTCGTGTTGGTCAGTAAACACTACGTGGTGAGAACACTGGTCTCACAAAACTGGGTTTCTATCGCAAGAAACTTACGTAATCTCAAGGGAAACACTTTCCCTGCACTTGCCTGGACAGTTCTTACAAAGGAAATGGGCTTTGCAAGCAGCAATTTGTTCAGACTGAAGCTTCTTAGGTGAGAGTTCAATTTGCTCAAGTGGGAGTTCTTGAATGCAACAAGTGGGAGATCTATTTTTTTTGGGGGAGAATGGGCTCTCCTTATATACATTTTGTGTGGGAATATTATGTAAGTAAAAAGGTGATGTAATGACTTCAGAATGTGAGAAGAATATTCCAAAAACTGGAGCAGAATGTTCTAGCAGGTGCAAAAGAACATTCCAGAATATTCATGGTGGGATAATGACATCATTCTGAGTCACTATGAGTCACTATGAGTCATTATGAGTCATTGGAATGTTCTAGCAAATTCCATGGAACATGACATCATTATGACATCACTATGATATCATATCTTTCAACCAAAATACCTGCAGGAGTGTAGGTGAAGTCCTATGACATCATTATGACATCATACCCTGTAGGTACAATTTTATGAAGCATCTGATTAGTCAGAGCATCCTAATAGAAAAGTAAAGTAAAGAAACACTAGAGAAAACAACTCAGAAATAATGGAACAAATAATAGTACACAATACGCGGGCTTTTTAGATAGGTTTTTGTTAGGCTTTGAACTTTTCTCTATGGGTTTCTCTAGCCAAAGTGAATAAGCCAAATGAAAGGCAATACATTAACCTTCATTTTGCTTCTCATATCAACTAGGTCATTATGTGATTCCCATCTCACATATGACTTTTCTTCAAAACATGGTGGATTCATGAATCACTGAGGGAAAACTGAAACTATTGGACCAAGGTTTGATACCAAGGTATGGGTTGACTAGTCTGAGGACTAAGCTAACAGACTTTGTCTTTTAGGGGGATACCTAGTAGTCATGTCCATGCATGATTCCCAAATCATGCAGGACACCGGGACGTGCCAAAACCTTAGAATTGATTTCCAGAAACTATTGGTGGCCTTCAATGACTAAGTATGTCCATGATTACGTAGATGGTTGCGACCGATGCAAACAGACGAAAGTGTTCCCAAGTAGACCAACGGGACCTTTACAGCCAAATGAAGTCCCAGAAGGACCGTGGCAAACGATCTCATGCGACCTGATAGTGGATTTACCAAAGAGTGAAGGATGCGACAGTATATTTGTTGTCATTGATCGATTTTTGAAACAATCGCACTTCATTCCCACCAACAAAGACGTAGACTCGAAGGGAATTGCCAAACTATTTCTAAGAAATGTATGGAAACATCATGGTACACCAAAGAAAGTGATTTCAGATAGAGGGACACAGTTCATCTCGAAATTTATGGGACAAGTATCAAAAAGATTAGGAACGAAATGGTCTGCATCGACCTCCTATCATCCCAGAACAGACGGACAAACAGAACGTGTAAACCAAGAAGTTGAACAATACTTGCGCATGTTTGCTTTGTATAGACAGAATGATTGGGTGTCCTGGCTGCCGATAGCAGAATTTTCACATAACAATGCAGTCACAGTAACTGGTCACAGTCCGTTCAAAATCCTCTATGGATATAATCCCGAATTCACCGTATCTCCGAACTCTACATCCTCTATTCCCGCCGTCAATGAGAGAGCAGATCAGATGAAAGAAGCAAGAGATGATGCAGAAAACACTCTGAAAATAGTCAATGAACACATGAAACGCTTCTATGACCGAGGAGTTAAAGACGCACCTCAGTATCAAAAGGGAGACAAGGTCTGGCTAGACGCAAAAAATATCAAACAACGTCGTCCGAGTCAAAATTGTCAGATCGTCGTCTTGGGCCCTTTGAAGGTTATCGGTACAGATGCTGACTGAGCGCTAACGACAGGCGCTTGTGATGGGCACTTAACGGTTGTCTCACAAATGTCTTTAGAGGTTTCACGAGTGTTCAAGAAAGAATAATGATTTGTGTTTGGAATTCGTGACATTACCCCCTCTCTAGGATGAGCGTCATCGTGAATGTAAGATGGTCGGATGTTCTTCTTTCTCCATTGTTTGAATTCCTCCATATCGAGAATAGATCCAAGAATTCTTTTGGGTTTGGCAGCCGTGGGGTTCTTCTTATGGAATTCTGCAATTAGAATCGGGGAGTTTTTAACATTTTCTTCTGGCTCCCATGTCGACTCTTCTATCGGATATCCTTTCCATTTTACTCGGTATTGCACTTTTCCTCGGAATTGTCGGCTATCAAGTACTTCTTCTACGACAAATTCTTCCTGATCGTCAACAATGTCTGGAGGTGGTCAGGTGGGTTGAGAATGAGGGATCAATTGAGATGCGTAATATGGAGTAAGCAATTCCACATGAAAAACCGGGTGAATCTTATAGCTCTCTGGCAATTTCAATTTGTAGTTCACTTCACCGGTCTTCTCTAGTATTTCAAAGGGCCCAAGACGACGATCTGACAATTTTTGACTCGGACGACATTGTTTGATATTTTTGCGTCTAGCCAGACCTTGTCTCCCTTTTGATACTGAGGTGCGTCTTTAACTCCTCGGTCATAGAAGCGTTTCATGCGTTCATTAACCATCTTTAGAGTATTTTTCCGCATCATCTCTTGCTTCTCTCATCTGATCTGCTCTCTCATCGGCGGCGGGAATAAGGGATGTAGAGTTCGGAGATACGGTGAATTCGGGATTATATCCATAGAGGACTTTGAATGGACTGTGACTGGTTACTGTGACTGCATTGTTATGTGAAAATTCTGCTATCGGCAGCCAGGACACCCAATCATTCTGTCTATAAATGTCACGAATTTCAAATACAAATCATTATTCTTTCCTGAACACTCGTAAAACACCTGTTAAGCGCCCGACATTAGCGCCCGTTGTTAACGCTCAGTCAGCGTCTGTACCAATAACCTTCACAAACCCTAACCTGAATCCATCCTTTACATTTCCGAACTTCTCTATTCCATTAGCGCCCACTACTCTTATCTCCGACATTCCCGATTTCGACTTCCTTTCACAGGCGATTAAATCACGTGACTCTAGAACCTTCGAGAACTCTTGCACAGCTGCAACACATTTCATGACATCATAGGTGTAGTTATATTTAGATCATCATACGATTCCCTTTTCTATTTAATGATTGGCTAGTTAGTTCAGATTCAGATTCAGTCTCCGCTTCAATATATGTATATAGGTAGCTCGTTGTAGTCAGTAGTTCTTCAGTTCAAACCTCTTTTGTATTAGCTTACTGCTAGCAATCCTAAGACGTCCCTGCTATCCTTTCCTCCTTGTTGTGATATTCTTGTTTGAGTCCTAGTCTCTGCCCCTGCGTTAATTCATTATAAGGGTTGTGACAGAAAGTGTTGCGCCTATGGCGCGTTTTGCAGGAGAGCTGTGCATTGTATGCGCAATGACTGGAGACATAGCAGAAGTTGCATACGGAGTAGGGCAACAAGTGCGAGAGAAACGCGCTAAGCGCGCGCGGGAATGCTGCGCGTTGTGTGGGAAAGTAGCGCGCCTATGGCGCATTTCGTGGGAAAGCTGTGCGTTGTGTGTGGAATGACCAGAAACATGATAGAAGTCGCATACGGATGATGGTGCGAGTTGTGCAGTAAAGGCCAGTTGCCAGAATTCATAAAATGAGCCCATATGAGCCCACAGAAACGCGAGTCTCTACACCAGACCGAACCGGACTTTTCCATCACTAGCTGTGGGAAGCAGTGTTTGCATCTGTGACAGGAAAAAGTTAGAGGATGGTTTGCAGACAGTGGATACTTGATGTGATTGATAATGTACAATTACAGCTAGTACATGATCATGATGAGAATACAATATTTCGTACAACCACAAGTACTACTTGACAACTACAAATCAAGGCTTCAAATGTTTGAGCTTTGTTCAAATTTCAACACTTTGCTTACAGCAGCACTGAGCACTATAGTTCTCTTTATCATCATTGTTAGTGGCCCTTCCTTTGCCCTTCTTGGCGTGTTGAATGAGTCGATGAGTGACTTTCAGGAATGACCGAATGACACCCATGGGCATACCAACAACATTGACGAAAAACTCATCCGATAGGCCAATCATGCTATTGACATATGCAACCCCATGATTGAGGAGATCATCCTCGTATTGGGACATATGCAAAAGTGGCATCGTGACATCCATTTCACAAAGGACGTCAGTGATGGGAGGGTAGGTGATAAATTCATCATCCTCGTCATGGCAAAGGAAAGTTGTTGCAAAACCCTGGGAAGTATTGACTCGACGGCGGCCACCAGTATCACCGAGAGCCTCCTTAGTAACAGGTGGAATATGGACATGAATGACCAGAAGAGTAGGAGTTGCACTATTAGCAGATGGGCCGTTTGCTGAAGATAATCGACGTTTCTTTGGAACATGGTGAAAGGCAGCCATCTCCGGGGGTTTATCATAGGTAGCCTCTGCCAAGAACTTCAAATACCTGTCAGTCAAATGTCACTGTTACGAGTTTCTGTCACTTACTATCTTTTTCGCCCAGAGGGTGAGGTTATAGATATCTTGAGCTTCAGTGGTCACCACTAATAGGATTGATATAGCAGAATTTGCCATGCTTCTCGCAGTCGAGCTTATTCTTGAGCTCTTGCAACTCGGCAGCAAAGCTCATGCAGGTCGGAGGGTCTTGGTTGTCATTGACAGCTTCGTCACGACGAGAAAGAGTGGCAGAGGGTGCTTGACAAGCTGGTTTCTAATAGTGCACTAGTCAGTAAGCAATACTCAATCACTAAGTATTCTCTTACCAGGTTATGTATTTCAAGAACTACTCGCCGACTTCGAGCTCGTTTGATGAGATCACAGCCCTGCTCAAATGCCTCTTGAAGCTGTTGTTCATTGGAGAGCTGATGAGGGGCATCTCGGACTCGATCATTGTGAAACTTGTACCCGAGTTCGGCATTCACTGGATCAAGGTCCATCTTTGCACAAATGCGTGAAAAAAAGTCTTCGAATGTAATATTGACAGGAAGGCGGATTTGGACACGGCTGACACGTCCACCGACAACTCCAGTATTTAATGGTACAGAGATATCAATGCTCGTGGTAGCTGGCAATACACAAAGTTAGATATTATCTAGTTGTACAACAACACAGTGGATGTACTTACGAACCACCATATTTGCGCCAGGGTAGCGTTGCTGTTGAGTTGATGGTGTGGTGGCTGACTCTTGATGGACCATATCACTGGCAGGATTATGTAGTAGCGTGTCTTGGAGCGAAGATGGAGGCATGCCAGCAGGGCCTTGGAGCGAAAATGGAGGCATGCCAGCAGGGCCTTGGAATTGAGTCTGCATATGCTGACTCGGAGGACCATGAATGAAAGGATGCATCAGAAGCATATTGAACCAATAACCAGCGCGGGGATAGCGACGTTCAAGGATCTCGTGTTGGCCCTCATTAATGAAAGGACTCTGGCTTGGAGAACTAGGGCTCGAGTCAGATATATTGAAGATGATTGATGCAGCAACTCACCCCTCACTAGCAGGATAATATACCACAGACAACCTGAGTACATGTCCGGATGGATCAACATTGTCAGATGATCAAAAAACCATTGTTTTCGATGGAGACAAAGAGACGGTGATCTCGCTAGAATGCTAGGGTTGCAGAAACTAAGTGGAGCTCATTTTATGATGACCAAAACTTACCTACGACAACATTGCAGTGTCTTGCATGGCGAGGGCTTCGTTTTCTTGACAAGGTCACCTGCAGTTGGTAATAACCACCACCATGTGCGGCTGGTCACAGGTCAGTGCGTGCAGTACAATTCCAGGGTCTCGTCACTGCCCCGCAGTGCCACACAAGCCCCACAAGTCCAAGTTAGGTTAGAGATTTACAAAAGTAGCTAGCGTGCACGCCTCTGTTTGGTGTCGCTCCAACAACAAACAAAAGTGGCTAAGTGAGTTTTCCAGATTCTGGTCTATCGATATGAAATAGCTGTAAAATGGATTGGAAGGCCTCAATTTGCCGGCAGCATTACGACTCGCTTGGAAGACAACCCGAAATTTTGGACGCCGCTTGGAAGTGATATAGGAAGTCTTTCAAGTGGGTCCCAAGACCATTCCAATGCAAGGGCAAAATTTTGAACTTTACCTGATTGGAACTCATTGCAAGTGATAAATGTCCTTCCAAGGCTAAAAGCAAATTTGGACCCATTAATTATAATTTAAATAATAGGCTATAGCGCTATTAATAATATCCCATTTTCCTTCCAATCTCTCCCATTTCTTTCAAAATTGAGATCCCGGTCACCTTTACAATCATTATTTCCTAGAAATAATAATCCCAGTCAGTTGGAGACAACAGTGCCAACCCCAGATGGTGGAACAGACACAAGAGAGAAGCAGTTAACAATGAAACACACCTTGCCGTTCTTAATTGCATGCTCGAGGAGTAGGAGTGGAGGCAGATCACGGTGCGGCGTGCTCAATCCAGCGATGTCAGTTGATGGGACACTTGTAGTTTTCATGCTCGATAAAAATGCAGAGTCGACCGGTTCAGAGGTTGATGGATGGATGGTGAGGGGTAAAATGTATAAGTAGTAGGGGGAGATTGTTGTGGTACTGGAGGTGGGAATGCAGAGAGGACCATTTCAGAGGTTGGTGGATAGATGGCGAGGGGGAAGATGTATAAGTAGTAGAGGGAGATTGTTGTGATACTGGAGGTGGGAATGCAGAGAGGACCAGTTCAGATGGCAAACAGAGAAAGCAGACTGCCCAGGTGCTGACAGTTGATGGATGGATGGTGAGGGGGAAGATGTATAAGTAGTAGAGGGAGATTGTTGTGATACTGGAGGTGGGAATGCAGAGAGGACCGGTGATGTATAAGTAGTAGAAGGAGATTGTTGTGATGCTGGAGGTGGGAATGTAGACTGCATAGCTCGTCGAGGGTATGCAGGTTGAGGTGGGTATTGATATTAGGTTGTCAGAGAAGCGACATTGGCCACGGCAGGTTGAGGGACTTGTGACAGAGATCTCAGCTGGGTCAGGATTTGACAATGACGACACAGATGATGCTTACCAGTTGCAGAATTTGGACGTGCGTCTGCACAGTGGCATCCCAAGCATTTGATTGTAGGGCATTGTGTTGTTCCTTTCAATGGGCCAAGGTAATGAATTCAAGTTCGCTCAGGACTTGTTACAGTGTGCTCTCGATATCTGACCAGACCGTTGCCTAAGAAAGTATTATCAAAGTCAATGAAAACTGTAATCAAAACAAATTTAAATGTACCGTCAAGCTTAATAAACTGTTGCTGCGTTGTTGCCATCGTTGACAGAAAAATGACATGATTGTTGTCTGTGAAGGTTGCAACCAAGTGCAAGTTCAACTCAATTTACTGGCAAGGATTATTATGTAATGCTAACTGAGAACACCCAACAACGAAAACAAAGTCTCTACCAAGGAGTGTGGCTGAGACAAACATCATAGTGAATCATGAATATACTAGATACATGTAAACTGTAATCTGAATCCGATTGAGTCAAAAATCCGCTACTTCTTCGATCAGCCAGACCTTCGCACTTCAAGATCCTCAGCAGTAGCACCCTCAGCACCAGTACCAGCCTTAGTCTTGCGCCTGGGCTTGGGCTTGGGCTTAGGCTTCTGAACGAGAGGAATGGGTGGCTGCGAGCCTTCATTGAGTGCAGCTGTGTTATCAATAGGTGGTGTTAATAGCTTGCGGTCCTCTGCCATAGCAAGACCTTGCATAGCTGCAGATATAGACTGAGGTGTGTCAACGATGATTGGTGTTTTGTCAATGGCCACACTGATAGCAGTTGATAGTGGGGCATCTTCTTCAGAGAGTGGTGATGCAGCTCGAGGAACATCAGGTTCTGGCAGATCACCTCCCATTTCCATCACGCGCTCGAAATCCTGTTCCCAGGTGTCGTGCAAAGTATTCCCACCCCTCAAGTCTCCAAGGAGAGTAGTCGCAGAGGAAGAAGTAGCGAAAAGGGAGTTGTTGAAGAAGGTGTAAACACTATCTGCCCAGGCGCCACCGGTCATCAGAGATTGACGATAATAGTTATGGTACTCCTTGTATGAGATTCAGGATTTATCGCCTATCTCGACTAGCTCTTTGTCGCCAGAAAGAATAAAGATAGCCTGTGACCTAGTTTAGTAGGTATTCTGCAGTGTAGATTGAATAGATTTACAACAACTGCTGCTGCTGCAATGAGGCCTGGAGTGACACAACAGCAACTCCCAAATCTTAGCCTTGGTTTTGGGTGTTGGGGGTGCATTGGCAGCTAGCGAGGATCGCCCAAAAAGCGATGCTTTTAGGATCTATTGAGGTTATTCAGGATGTGCAAGTTAGAAAGGAAAAGAGCCTACATAAACGAGCTTTGACAGTTTTCAGAAAGTCGTCTCAGAATAAATGTTCTGGGTGAGGGAAGAGCACTGGCGCAAACTTCGTGTATGCACCTTGAGGGTTAAGGAGCAAGGTGCGGCATGCAGGCTCTGAATCCCGTGCATACCCTCATATGAAGAACTTTGCATCAAGATTGAAAATGGCAGCTGCGCAGGACTTGACATCTGAAACCATTTCCACGTGAACACTATTGATGCCTTTGACAAACTCAAAAGAAAATCAGCAGGAGTGAGACCAATTCATACATTGATGTACTTACATGAGAACTGAAGTTCTTATGGGCCATCATGCCATGGTCCGCAGGCAGAATGAAACGAAAGAGCTCGGCTTTAACACCATCCTGAATTGACATCGGAGAGAGCCACTGCTCTTTGCTCGTGAGATCAATATTGGGAGGTGGTGTGCGCAAGGGAAAAATGGTGGTCTCAACCCAGAGGCAGTGTGTTACAGAAAACTTGCACCCATAGTTCTTGATGATATCTTCCTTAGCGGCGAGCGCAAGGTCTTTATTAGTAAGCTTCGTCTTCCGGCCTTTTGAAAGTGTGGCCTCGAGAAGAGCGTTCTTCTTCAGAGCCTCCCGATACTTTCCTCACATGTCTAGAAGTAGTCTTTGTGTGCGAGTTCAAGAGCCTATAAGAGATTATTGATTAGCTACTATCATTCATACATAATATAAAGACTTGCCTTGCGGATACCTTCAGCAGATGCATTAAGAGGAGGTGCTGCAATTGCGGTCTGAACTTGCAGTAAATCTGTATCATTGTTGGACTCGTCACCATCAGAATCTGTTGAGTCAGTGGCGGAGCTGCTATCGATGTTCGCAAGATCTTGAGTGAAGTCCTCGCCATGGGCACGATGGTGCTGAGGCATGGTGGTTTGAGTCAGAGGATATAGCAAAGAGCAACCTGGGAACATCTTGATTAAGTCGAGTGTGCTTTAAATTGGCACTATTTGGATAGTGTCAGACCCTGTGGATGTAATAAGGTGGTAGGATAACATGTACCCTTATCAGCAACATAATAGCCATTGTGTATCCACGTTGTGTAAGCGCAAATTAAAGAACGGATGACGACTTCATGCTTCTGAGATCCCTGGTTGGAGGTGAGCATGATGGCAGATGCGAGGAGATGGTGAAAGGAGCTTACTTGGATGCGAGCATGAAGCGGACCGGCACCTGGAGTAAGTGTCATCACAGATGACCTTTGATGCGAGTGTGAGTGGATGGCCTTTGGTGCGAGTATGAAGCGGACAAACCTTAGACTTTGATGTAAGCATGAAGTGGGCAACCTTTGACAAGAGCGTAACTGTAATGGAGTAAGTGTTGTTGCAGATGGAAGTGATGAGTGAAGAGAAAGAGCGCGTTTGAAAAGAAGAAGGATGTGTTGGTATGATAAGCTAAATAAGGTTCCTTTGGACGCGAAGAAACATATCAGTATCTGCATAGTTGACGAGAAAATAATCCCCGTGGTTGTCAAAATCTGGGACAAGTAAAGCACCACGAATAATGGAATGAAGAGTGATGAATTCAGACGAAGCTGCAGGCCATGCACGTAGTCAAGTTAGTTGCAGGTCTCGATCTAGGAGGCGCCGATGTGGTGAAGCATCCACGGGAAGAACCAAAGCAAGATCTAAGGTGTGGTTGCCGACAGTAAGCTTGAACACAAATAATAGCTTGACAAAAATGTTTTTGTCATGGCCATCTTTGTCCTGTGTGCGGATTAGAGCACAGTCACAACGCTTGTGGCCATGAAAACTTGGACTGCATCGTAGATAGTCAGTGGCCATCTTCCAGGTAGCAGCAGACTCATAGTGGACTTTGAGATAGTGATGTTCGTGAACCTTTTGAAGTGTCAGAGATCCGATTAAGTACTTCAGAGTGAAGGAGAGACTTACTTGGTCATGTGCTGAAAGTTTCAGCCACCGTATTCCGTCTGGTAATGGTATGTTGTGGGAGGGCAGGAAGTGATTCAGAAACGTTGCGAGCTTCTTCCTGAAATGGTCAAAGGCACAATTTGACCTGTTGTCTTCCTCCACTTGCGCTAGGCTGGTGAGGGTCCTAAGGGGCAAACTGAGATGCAAGTGAGCTTTGAATGGCTCGTCGTCAGTGTCGTTGTCTTCAAGTTCTTCCCGTGAGAGCGTGAGTTTATGTTGTTCCTCATCACAAAATTCAATACGGCTGCGAATAAACTCAGCAACAAAGCTCTTGTGGTCAAGTACAAGGATCTATAATACAAATATGCAAAATTTATTAGTTATTGATGGGAAGCAAACTTCTTGGCAATGACACACCTGGTTAGCGATATCCTTATGATTGGTCTGCCGTAGGTACCAGCGCTTGATCGGCCCATGCTGCTTTTTGTTTGGTCGAGTGCTGAAGTTGCAAGCAGCACCTTTTGTGATGATATCATCGAAAATGTGCTTTGAGGCATGCATCTTGGGAAAGTTCCAGTTCTTGGTTGCGTCGGGATCAGTCTCCTCGATAATTGCGATGTAGTCCTAAATCACGTTTGAATCAAAACTATTGTCAGTATATTATTGTGAAGAATCCAACACAAAAACATACCTCTAAGTGCGTCTGAAACACCAGAACCTCCGCTTTTCCTGCTTGGATTGTGCTCTCTGTATGCATGTCAAGTGATACGTACATGTTGATATGTAATAACTCGCTATGCACCATAAAAGTGCATTGCCAGCTTCATCATCTGTGTGCGTGAGTACGTTCTGAGTGGTATATAAGATTTGCTATCCGAATCAATTTGAGTGAAGATTTAGTTGTCAAATCAACGTGTCAATGACATACCTTGGAAATGTCTCAAAGTTTGTTACCATTGCTATAGGTGATGTTGGTGACACGATCAAAATGATTCAAATTGCGCCAACGTGTGAAGGCAGCAAACCTGGAACCAATTGAAGAAAATTGAATAGTGCACAGATTAGTGTAATAAATCAACTCACTGATCATCAATCTTCTTCTCGGCACTGCGTCCCAAAGCCGCTGAATGTCGTTTGAGCTCACCAAATAAATGTTTCCCCCATTCCCCAATATGATAAACGTGGAGGTGATCCTGCGAGATCATTTTGTGAGGGTTAGAATTCAGGATCTGCCAGAAGACATTCTTAAGAAAAAAGTCAGTAATGTTTGTAGGACATAATGAGCACCAACCATAACTGGCCGCAAGCCCCGTTTTTTTAATGCTTCTTCTCCAGCCGCTTTGTCCTTCTTCCACAGTTCTACACAAGATCGTGCATCTTCAGGCGATCAGATTGGGTAAGTAGATGTGTTGTCGTAGAGCTTATCCGATGGGACAAGGCAGATTGGACAAGGGCAATGGCAGTTTGTCCCCCGTATGAGCGCCATGACACATCTAGTAGCAACTGATCAGAATATTATTATCATCAAAAGAATAACAAATGTACTGCTCTTCATAATCAGCCGACAAAAGCAAAATGAATGCATAAAGCCACCTAACAATACCGTCAGAACATAGATGTGCATATCCTGTCTTGGCATAGAGTATGATGGTTTCGAGAAGCTTGAGAAACCCGTCGTTCCATACAACCTGTTTGAGGTTCACATAAGACAGTTTACCATCCTCCTTAGAGTATTCAGGTACCTATTTAAAATAATCACGATCCATTGACAAGACTAAGACTGTTAATAAAGACGAACTATTGGTAACCAGCCAACCATCCATCCGCTGCCCAGCCCATCAGTATTTCTGATGTGAACAGGCAAGTTCCCACATCAAGTGAAGACCGGATAAGCTTCAATGGTCCCAGCAGAAGACAGATGCATCTTGTCTGCATACAATATGAAGGCAAAAGGGACGCCGTTTTCAGGTAAAGATGACTATAATACAACACCACTTAGAGCCACATGAATGAGAGTACAAAAAAGTAAGTCATACTTGTACATTCCACCAGCAATCTGCAGTCCAAGGCTCATGGTAGAAGCGCTCGTAATGCGCCCCATCATGTTTGTACAACCGCTGAGCGTCCCAAACAAAGTGCGGTGCCAGTAATGGGTCCTGTAGTAAGTCCAAGGCCCAGTCCCACAATGGGCGTGTATATACATCAAATGTGAGGTCCTCCCGTTTGTGTCGAGCAGTGATAGTATGCTTCTCGAACTATAAAAAGATTGGTAGCTACAGAGGGGAAATGCGATGTTCTCCTCTTACAGGTGTCATCTGAGAGGCCGCCCTGTCCCAGGCCAAAGAAACATCGCGGTGGGACTTGAACGTGAGTTTTGCGTGGCCCTCAGTGATTCTCCAAATGAGCCGCAACAGCTCATCTGTGTGGTCCTTGTTCAAGGCAGCATTGTGTGCGAGTTCGGCAAACTCAAAGTCTGCACGACAGCTAAACGGCTGGCAGGGTTCTTCGTCGATGATGGGCAACCATTGATCTTGCTTGGGCCCGAAGGTAGAGAAAGTCTCTATAGTTGTTGCACGACCAGATTTCAGATGATATTCTGTCTTGAATGTATCAAGGCCAGAGGGAACTGAAGTTTCAGCTGCAAGCGAGGACAGAGTAGGTGGTGTGGGGCCATGAGACGATGCCATACTGGAATCTGAATCCGCGCCTGAATTGTGAAAATATTGAGTGAGGAACGCATCATGAGCAGTCAAAATATGCACGTTGTCACGAGTCTCCACCGACACTCATTGCATCAACAACATCTGATCCCATCGCGAATGACATTGCACCTGCGTTCAAGTCGTTGGGCACATTCTCTGTCCAATCGTCAGACAGGAGTGATGCTGAAGGGACCGACAGGACATGTGGGCCAGTACTGGCCACTGTATCTTGTTCCTTAATCTTGTGAAGGTGTTTTCTCTCTCGGCGCGCCTCTGATGGTGATATTAAGTGCTTGATATCAGTACGACTTGTCAATATGAGAATATTGATTCACGACATACCTTTCCTTTGAAGTTGCTCCTCTACCCGCCTGCGCTGCAAGCACTGCAAAATCATCGTTGTCCTTGTCCTTCTCCCGTCTCCTCAAGCAGCTTTGCTCGTGAGACCATAACCCACGCAATGAGTACAGCTTGTTGCAGTGTTGACAAGGAATTTGATTGTTGGATGACGAGGGTAATATATACTTGTGTCCTCCATTTGTATTCCTGTTCAGCGCCATGCAGGAGTATTACAGGGAGAATATGGGTCAAAGAGTGTAGTACAATCAAATGGGAGGAGATGACTGAGATGAAGGTAGACAACAAAGATAAGACATAAGACTTAGTCAACAGTTATCAGAATCATTACTTGAATCTGGATTTGAATCCTTATCCAGCTGCTTCTGATGAACTTAGAATAATTGACCTGCTTGGAAGCAACTTGGAGGTGCCAAAAATACACCATGGTCCTTGTAAGTGATGACAGATTCCTTGTAAGCACCTTAATACGGACCCAATGTAGTTGTCATGTGCATAAATGATGTCCCAATATGGAACACTTCCAAGGGACCAATGGAGATTTCCGACACACGACACGTGCAGGTCATGTGATCGCGTCATTCATGGTTGTGCAATGTGAAACAACTTGTGTAGTATGTACCTTTGTATGATTGCGTGGTTAAGGTGCAAATTGAGATATTGTCAATATAATCGTTTCGTCGCAAGAACTTAATATTGAAATTGGAGAACGGTAGTCGACGAGAAGGGACTACGAGAGAGGAAGAGAAAGGACTATGAGAGGTGAGGTTTTGAGGAACGAATCAGTAGAAGTAATTGATTCGGTTTTTGTGTGGGAAGGTCTGTTTTTGCCCGACCAGCGCAAGAGGGCGGGAGTCTGGGCGGATCACGTGATCCGAGACAAAAATCCGAAGCCGAGATGTTCGGAATCGAAGAGTTTTGGGAATGAAGAAAAACAGACCTTCGGAGCGTGATATGTCTGAGAACGTGCGTAGACCGGAGGGACCGAAGAACACACGAACCCAGACCAAAAACCACGCTGGAGTATAAGATAGGGAGGTGGGTGGGTGAACAAAAACGTCGAGCGACGCGCAAATGGGGATGAGCGCAGAGACGAAGAAAGAATGGAGAATCTGTTCTCGAGCTGAGCCTTAAGAATGAGAGGAGTGAGACGTGTGCTTCGTTAAGATCGAAGCACCCGTCTTGGAGAATCTGCACATGGGCCCGCTTACAAAGGCCATGTTTCACGCGTCAACGCTCGCGGGCTCGTGATCCGCTCTGAAACGGCCACCTAGCTCCATCGTTGACCACGAGAATGCCGCATCTGAATATCATTACAAAAGTGTGAAGTGTATGACAAGTACCATGACTGAGAATTATAAGTGCGGCATTAGACTGGTCCAGAATACCGCCTTGTATGTGTCAGGAGGAAGATTGGGTAAAGTGGTGAACATAAGTACCAAGAGGACGGGGACATCCCTGAAACCGCCCCGCTGGCGTAGAAAAGTCTGACGCGCACAGTATAAAACTACCCATGAGCGCAAAGAAGCTGATGTTTGAGTCCATAGATAATCTAGGGATGCAAACAAACGATTTGAATTGAAGACGCGAGTGAGACTTATCTTCAGATTGCTCTGAAAAGAGACCTTCAACCATCGCCCCGCAAGAACGGAGGCTAGGTTCCAACAGGAAGTCGTAGACACAAACTAGACCATGAAACATTGCCTCTCCTTCGCACACCTCAAAGCTTCGCTCTTGGTAGTTGGATTGCGTCCATGATAGCATCTGGACACTCATAGTGAATGCAGTGGCCGATGCCTGGAAGAACTCTGACATTTAGTCTCTCAACGTCACAAGGGACGTGCTCCAGATGACAAACAGCGCCGGCCTTCGGATCTGATGCCAGCACGGTGATCTTCACATGAGGGGGGATGTTTTTGAACAGCCCACTGAAAGACCACGGCCTGTTATGCTGTTCACAACAACGGCAGAAGTGTCAGCAACATTCGCCATGTCCATAATTGCAATATTACCGAGAAGATTCCCTCGATAGTGGTGCTGTTGCACATTGAAACTCCTAGTGCGTGTAACACGTAGTCACGTTGTGACCAACCAAGATCATCAACCAGCTCCTCGGTGGTTTTGACATTTGCAACTTCATTCAGAAACCAACTTTTATACATTTCGGTCGTCCCCTCGATCTCGAGGGGGGGATCGAGGAGTATGACAGTGGCTTGTTTCGTTTTAGGCAAGAATTGCAAGAGCGAAAGAGCCACTATGCCTCCAAGAGAATGACCTGCAACCACATCGTAGGTCGTGTCATTGATGAAGTATGGTTGGAGGTCCTCTACAAGGGTGGACACGCGGTAGTCGGTGCCCCGTCTCCATGCATGCCCAAGGAGATTTGGAGCCACGACAAAAAAGCCTGTGAAGCCTGTTAAAAACAGAGCATGATCGCGATAGTATCACAAAACCTGACCTTCTGCTACTAATAGCCGAGCGACGCTCTCCCATGAACTCGAGCACGAAATCAACCCATGAATGAGCAGAGCTTTCCTGGGGCAGTGGGAGAACCCCACTGAGATGCCGAATTTGACGCATACATGCTAGTATTGCCTGGCATGATCAGAATTCTGCTAGCGGAGCCCGTATGAGTGGAGAAGTTCAGGAATTCAAGTCTGACGTCCAAGATCGAGGGAGGTGCTAGAAGAGGAAGTAGCACGTAGGGAAAACTGTGCATTTAAGGGGCATACAGCACATACTGACCGGAATAGCCATATGACACTCAGACAAGGGCTTATCCCATTGTTAAGGGATGCCACGAGTAACCCCTTCATCAAAGGAAAGCACCCTGCGGCTGACGGCAAACTGGTTGCAGTGAGATGACGTGTCTGCTTAAATGCAAGAGCCACTGGGGTAAATGAAGGAAAATATAATCTCACCACTCCCAAAATAGTATGCCACACATTCGGTGCGGCTTTGAAATGACTCTGATACCAGCCAACACTTCTCATGGCATACAAGCGATGACCCTCACCTGCGGTCATGGATGTTGCGGGCCCTTTCACTACAATAGCAAGTTATATTGCTGCCTGCACACTATGTTTGCACATTCACTTTGACGTCAAATTGTATCATTTGAAGTCGTCAGCACCAAATTCCAATAAACATATTGTGCTGTCTCCATGGTCTTGACAGCACCATCAAGCTATATAGTTGCGACGGGTCGAGATGTCGAACCAAGGACAGTATGCATATTGAGATACGGAGAGGGAATTGTTCAGGGTACGGTTGCATTACGTGTATTTTGAGCGATAAAGACTAGAGCAATCTGGTCTCAGCGTACAGGTCAAGCGGGAGAACGATGCTAATACAAGAACCACCTTCCTACCAGTTGAGAAACAATGTTCACTTGGTCAAACTGTCAATGAAGTGATGCACGTCTGCAGCATTCCCGAGCCGGCCCTTTCCGCTACAATCATATCACATCGGCGTCAAGAATGACTCTGCCCTCGAGTCTCTATCAATCTTCTGCTATCCATTCTGCTGGATAGTTCACAGAACCCGCAGATCAAGTGGACCTTGATGGTTCTATCGTTACTGGTGTCAGAAAGAGGTGTCTTGATAGGCTGTGAGGTCAAGAAGCGAACACCACTCTGGCAGACTACAGGCGCATCTATGGTCGGTATCGGAAACTTCATACAAGGAATTTTTAATTACCGGGTTCCCAAAAAGGTCATATAACCTTACCTAAGGTTAGGGCTATATGATGTTCTTTCGACTTGAAGTTTGTCAGTGCTTTGAGATATGGAGTGCACTCATTTTATGTAACAATCGTCTAGGAATTAATATTCAACTTTTTCTATCCAAAGGAGAGAGGGAATCAGAATCAAAATCATCCAGATCAACTGCTGGGTGTTGGGGACCTCAGGCCTCATCCCCTGCTTGGCGGGTGCGTTCGACTGATGCCTCCGCACATCGCAACGGCTCGTGTCACACATACTAGAACTGGTGTCACTGTGCACTCCTCAAATGCTCCATCCGGCCCTCGACTCATGAGACACCACTCGCAGGAGCTATTTGATCTCTGCACAGGTGCAAAACCGCCAGCTCTGCTAGTCCTTCTGCAGCCCGAGCAAATCAATGCTGCGGTCCAGATCAACTGTCAAATTCTCCACATCCACGAACAGAGACCTAGGTTCCAACAAAAAGTCGTAGACACAAACTAGACCATGAAACACTGCCTCTCCTTCACACGGCTCAAAGCTTCGCTCTCGGTAGTTGGATTACGTCCATGATAGCTTCTGGACGCTCTAATTGAATGGCGTGGCCGATGCCCGGAAGAACTCTGACATTCAGTCTCTCAATGTTACAAGGGACGTGCTCTGGAAGACAAATAGCACCAGCCTCCGGATCTCCTGCCAGCACAGTGACCTTCACATGAGGGGGGATGTTTTTGAACAGCCCACTGAAAGACCACGGCCTGTTATGCTGTTCACAACAACGGTAGAAGTGTCAGCAACATTCGCCATGTCCATAATTGCAATATTACCGAGAAGATTTCCTCGACAGTGGTGCGGTCGCACATTGAAACTCCTAGTGCGGCTATCACGCAGTCACGTCGTGACCAACCAAACTCATCAACCAGCTCCTCGGCGGTTTTGACATTCGTAATTGCATCCAGAACCCAACTTTTATCCATTTCGACTGTCTCCTCCCTCTCGAGGGGGGGATCGAGGAGTATGACAGTGACTTGTTTCGTTTTGGGCAAGAATGGCAAGAGCGAAAGGGCCACTGTGCCTCCAAGAGAAGAACCTACAACCACATCGTAGGACGTGTCGTTGATGAAGTATGGTCGGAGGTCCTCTGCAAGGGTGGACACGCGGTAATCAGTGCCCCGTCTCCATGCATGCCCAAGGAGATTCGGAGCCACGACGAAGAACCCTGTGAAAGCCTGTTGAAAACAGAGCACAATCGCCATAGTATCACAAAACCTGACCTTCTGCTACTAATAGCTGAGCGACGCCCTCCCATGAACTCGAGCACGAAATCAATCCATGAATAAGCAAAGCTTTCCTAGGAGCAGTGGGAGAACCCCACTGAGACGCCGAATTTGACGCATACATGCTAATATGGCCTGGATGATCAAAATTCTGCTAGCGGAGCCCGTATGAATGAAGAAGTTCGGAATTCAAGTCTGACTTCCGAGATCGAGGGAGGAGTTAGATAGGGAAGTGGCATGTAGGTAAGTGTGCATTTAAGGGCGTACAACTCATACTGACCGGAATAGCCATATGACACTCAGACAAGGGCTTATACCTCTGTTAAGGGATGCCACGAATGACCCCTTCATCGAAGCAAAGCGCCCTGCGGCTGACGGCAAACCGGTTGCAGCGATATGACGTGTCTGCTTAAATCGAGAACCACTGGGGTCAACTATGAAGGAGAATTTGATCTCACCACTCTCGAAATAGGATCATAAGTCCGCTTCACAGGGAGTATGCCAGAGGGGCAGCCCTGACCAGCCCGGCTTCTATGTTAGCACTGCAAAACATTTTACATCTCCTCCCTACCTTCTCAGCGAACAACTCACCATCGTTCCATTCTCACTCACTCGTGTCCTCCGGAGTCTGGTCTTTACTTCATCCACAGCCGTCGATGGTGAGGCCTGCTTCGCTAAAAACGACGAGCATTGAAAGCCTGCCAAGATAAATAGTTGATTTCTCAAGGTGTCAGTGTATGCAGGTATTATAGGCAAATAAGCCACGCACCTGTGTTTCCAGAAACACGAATTCCACGTGCAGGGCTATGGTGGACGATAGGTTACGGTTCGATTTGCCGATTTGCCGCAACTTATTTGGAAGTCCGATCGATGCTTCTTCTAGTATTACAAGTATACCTAGGTATACCTGCAAATTCGTGTCACACTCAGTGCATTCCTTGCTTGCAGACCGCTGCAGATGACCGGTTGACCTGCAAGCACCTCACGCAACTCCCATAATCTCTCGCTGACCTCTCACCTCTTGCAAGTGCAGCATGCGGAAACAGGTGCCTGTGAGACTCCCGCACCCTTGCAAGCCTGAGTAAGCCTCCTAATTGTCGAGTCTCTGCCGATGCGATTAGCTTGGATACGGGCATCGTGAAAATGCTGCAAGTTTGCAACTGTTGCGGTAACTGCTGCGACGTGAGGTGTATTTACACTAACTTACTATGCACTCGTTTTGTCGCTGCCATCTGCGCATATGATGCATCTATCAAAGTTGAAAGCATTAAACAACTTCACATGATGAACTCACTCGGATATGTGGTGAGATTTGTCTTCTCGTTCCTTCAGATTGAAATTTTGGGCTTCGGTTTCCTGGATTCTGAAGCGGACAGGCTGGGCCAAAGAACTATGTTTGCCGCATTAAGCATGATACTGGTGCCATTCATTCGTCTCACTCGTAGTTAACTTGGTATTATGATCATTGATGAACTGGAGGGTGCACGTGGCACCTCGTTTTTGACGGGTTTTGACAATTTAACCTCCATCACCCTCATCTATGTCCGTTGTATTTGTTCCTGAAGTGGCAAGCCGCTTTGAATGAACAACCTTGAAGTAAATGTACATTTTCCCGCTCCCTGCACACTTCCCACCCATTGCAAATAAATAATATCGAGCATCTCCTGCGCTACACACTGCTGCTAGTTGATACATGGACGCGCTCCTAAAAAGCAATTGAAGTCATAGCGGTCGCAGTATCAAAGTTGGCCACGAGTTCAGCGTGATATTCTCGAACACTGAGGATGAGGCGTGGTCCTAGCACAAACATCTGCACGACCTGCCACTAGAATATCTCAGCGAGACAAAAATAAATCTGAGGGTTCCAAGTCAAGTCAAATGTCATGGAGGTGTATAGCTCACCGCCCAGCATTACATTTACAACCTCACCCATCCAATTAAGTGCGTCGTAGATGATAAGGCCTGATAAATCCAGTAACATAAATTATCAGCTTCGGAAGATCGCAGACTCTGAAACAAACTCACAACTGTAGGAGTCGTTATGTTTAATCAACGAGTTGTTCGAGAATCTCATCCCTGTATGGTAGTTCAGTTGTTGGACAAGAATGGAAGGCATCGGTGTGGAATGCTCACTGTGCCAGTCGCCGAAATTGTTGGAACACTGACTGTATGCTGCCCATCACAAGAAAGAAACAGAGCCTATGCGAGGATACACACCCAGCATGTATATCCTGATTATGAGAGATGGATAATGAGCGCAACATCAATAGCTTAAACATCCAAATGTACACAGCATATCCCATTCAACCATGGCGCACCTAGAATAGTCAGCAAAACCTGGACTTGCTAAGCGTAAATATTGAAATACAAGGTACATACACCAAAGTAGAGAAAGGTCATACTATCAGAAGATGGGAGCGAGCGAGCGGAGGAACTTAGTGGACGGATAACAATCGCATTCATGCATGATATACCATAATCCAGTGTTTACATCGCCAAAGTGAGATTTGAGGAATGATATCTGATTGATCGAAGTGTTTCAGCCCAAATTCCAGTGCAAAGACAATGTGCATCCAGGGATACCAATGGGATCAAGGGTTGTTGGTGAGATCGCAACACAGTGACTCACGAAGAATGTTTGAACGCCGCATATGATTTGGGCGCGGTGCCCGTGCGATCTTCGAAGTATTCTTGCTACAGTGTCCAGTGTGCGATGCAACGTTCAGCCTCGACGCATTAATAAAACCATGTTGTTCATTGACCCAACACAGGTTTGAACGGCGCCCACGTCGAGCTTGTGACAGACACTGACTATAATTTTTAACACAAAGGAGCTGAAGTGGAGTACATGCCTGAGCCAAAGTGGAGCAGAAGAGGGGTTCGGGTGGAGCGCATGGCGTCGACGTGAATTGGTTCCACGGGATTAAACGATCCGAGTCCGTTCTTACAATATGTAGATAGATATCTGCTGGGTAACTTGCAAATAATCATCGCCTCGATTTGATTCGCCTCTGCGGCATCACTACTAGTATTAGTATAGCCCAGAGAAAGATCAGATATAGCTGCTGCTCCTTGTTATCACCTATCATCAGGCCAGGGTAACATGCTACTCGAATCTCGGACAGCAGCGGTCTGAAAGTAAGGTAATGCATTGAGAGTGTGACACAAATTTGCATGTATACCTAGGTATGCTTGTAATACTAGAATAAACATCGCGCGGACTTTCAAATATGTCGCGGCAAATCGGCAAAATCGAACCGTAACCTATCGTCCACCATACAGGGCACTGATCTTGGGGTAATAGAGATGAACACTGCACGTCGGGTCGCGCCTAAACTTGAAGGTACCTATCTCCCCGTCGATCGGGAATGTTGCTAGTTGCTCATCAGTCGTCCACTTCATTAGCCGCAGCATACCAAACAGCCTTATTTCGCTGACGATGAGCAAGTTCAAGCAAAATACCTTCCCCAGTATTTTGCTGTGTACTTCCATCGAAATTGGCGTTGTGGGGGATACTCATGGGCAATGAATAGCAACAATGATTCCCACAGGTATTACCAATCGTCTTCAGAAGCGCTAGCGAAGTCACAGTCATTAGGGTATCAATGCACCATCAGCTCGAGTACCTCACGAGGCTGTGGTGGAGTTCCCCGTTCACATTAAGTATGAAACTACCCATGAGCGCAAAGAAGCTGTATGTTTGAGTCCAACTACAATCTACGGATGCAAACGATTTGAAAAGGCACGAGTGAGACTTACCTTCAGATTGCTTTAAAAAGAAACCTTCAACCATCGCCCCACAAGAGTCCGAGTTCCCGTATATCCTCCTACTGGAGTATGAACTAGCGAAGTAAAAAAAAATCACCTTCTACAGGAACTTCGATACGGGTGTTCTGGCATGCTCGTCAAGCTAGGAAAGTACATACTGAGCGCACGAACATACTAGAGAGCACGACTCACTTTCAGACAGCTCCTGGTGACGTTGAACATTGAAATAGCCTGAATCATGGTACTGGCTTGTCACATGGTGAGCGCTGGATCACTGGAGTATAGCCCATGTGACGATCAGCTCAGGAACAATGAGTGCAGTTACCATGCTTCCAAGTCGCCGCCATAAAACAAGAACCGAGCTGTCCTTGGACTCGGAACATTGGGGTAAATGGCACTGTACAAGCACACAAAGAGTGTCAGAGTGCAGCCAGAGATGGTGGCCAACGTGGTTCGGTGGTTTGTGTATGACGCGTGTTGGGAACGTTCATCCATAGTACTAGTCGACTCTGTATGAAATACGGTTTGGATCACTTGAACCAGGTACTCGAGCATTATGCGCATAGCATTACTAGATGCCTTGAAGAGCGTTAGACGTTGTATACCGACGTTCAGAATAAGCTGCTCACTATCAGATTCCTAATATCAAATCGTCCTGATCCCAAGTCGATCATTGGATGTGTATCAAGTCCATCCGACAGGCTCAGGTGACTTCAAGAACAAACGCTCTCAATTATTGCTAAACCCGCGCGGCTCATTAGTATTATGTCATGATCAACACCATAGATGATGAATACCTCTTCAATCCGAGTCCTCACAATCGAGAAATATGAGTAGCTTTCCTATTCGGACCTCGGTGTTGTGAATATAACAATGACTAGCACCATGTTCCGGTCGTATGGTGTGCAGAACGTGTGGATTACGTGTCTGGTGGGATAGGTATCGGCGACCTACTTGCTGAGACGGACACCGTGAGTCGCGTGCCTGTATAGGGCTGCAAAACTACGTCGGGTGACTCGGGTCGCGTCCAAAGGTGACTGTCTCCTCGTCGATGGGGAATGCCGCTACCTGCTCATCAGTCATCCGTTTCACCAGCTGCAGTGCACCAAACAGCCCTACTTCACTGCCGTCTATGGTGGATCGTGAGATTCGTGACAAACAAGACTTGGGCAGAGTTTGTTCGGTTCGCATCATACTATGTGTATAGGTCACGTGATCGCGTCGTTAACTTCATAGTGGCTGCGAATTTCGAAACAACTTGTAGATATACCTAGCTCCATAGTTGACCACAAGAATGCCAAAATATCATTAAAAAGTATGTGGCGTGTCATAAGTACCATGATCGAGAATCATAAGTGCGGCGCTAAACTAGTCCACCACACCGCCTTGTATGCGTCAGGAGGAAGATTGCGTAAAGTAGTGAACATACTAAGTACCAAGAGGACGGTGACGAGCTGCGATGTACCATATGATTGACATGCACCCACAAGCTGAATGAAGTTGAGCTGCAGCAGTGGCAAGGGATTGTGGTACTTTTCTTTCAAACTTGAGACTGATATCTTGGCATAGTTGGACTACTGTATGCTTTACGACACCCCATGTACGAACAGAGACTAGGTTCCAACAGGAAGTCGTAGACACAAAGTAAACCATGAAACGCTGCCTCTCCTTCGCACGGCTCAAAGCTTCGCTCTCGGTAGTTGGATTGCGTCCATGATAGCATCTGGACGCTCCATTTGAATGATGTGGCCGACGCCCGGAAGAACTCTGACATTCAGTCTCTCAATGTCACGAGGGACGTGCTCTGGAAGACAAATAGCACCAGCCTCCGGATCTCCTGCCAGCACAGTGACCTTCACATGAGGGGGGATGTTTTCGAGCAGCCCACTGAAAGACCACGGCCTGTTATGCTGTTCACAACAACGGCAGAAGTGTCAGCAACATTCGCCATGTCCATAATTGCAATATTACCGAGAAGATTCCGTCGATAGTGGTGCGGTCGCACTTTGAAACGCTTAGTGCGGCTAACACGCAGTCACGTCGTGACCAACCAAACTCATCAGCCACCTCCTGCATGTTTTTGACATTCGCAATTGTTTCCAGAACCTGACTTCTCTCCATTTCGGCTGTCGTCTCCCACTCGAGGGGGGGATCGAGGAGTATGACAGTGACTTGTTTCGTTTTGGGCAAGAATGGCAAGAGCGAAAGGGCCACCGTGCCTCCAAGAGAAGAACCTACAACCACGTCGTAGGACGTGTCGTTGATGAAGTATGGTCGGAGGTCCTCTGCAAGGGTGGACATGCGGAAGTCTGTGCCCCGTCTCCATGCATGCCCAAGGAGATTCGGAGCCACGACAAAGAATCCTGTGAAAGCCTGTTAAGAACAGAGCATGATCGCGATAGTATCACAAAACCTGACCTTCTGCTACTAATAGCTGAGCGATGCCCTCCCATGTACTCGAGTCCGTAGCCAACGCATGAATGAGCAGAGCTTTCCTGGGGGCAGTGGGAGAACCCCACTGAGACGCCGAATTTGACGCATACATGCTAATATGGCCTGGATGATCAGAACTCCGCTAGCGGAGCCAGTATGAGTAAGGAAGTTCGGAATTCAAGTCTGACTTCCAAGATCGAGGGAGGAGTTAGAAAGCGAAGTAGCATGTAGTAGAAAGTGTGCGTTTAAAGGGCGTACAGCACATACTGACCGGAATGGCCATATGACACTGAGGCAAGGGCTTATCCCATTGTTAAGGGATGCCACGAATGACCCCTTCACAAAAGGAAAGCGCCCCGCAGCTGACGGCAAACCAGTTGCAGCGATATGACGTGTCAGACTGCTTAAATCGAGAACCACTGGGGTCAACTATGAAGGAGAATTTGATCTCACTACTCTCGAAATAGGATCAGAAGTCCGCTTCACATGGAGTATGCCAGAGGGACAGCCCGGACCAGCCCGGCTTCTATGTCAGCGCTACAAACCATTTTACATCTCCTCCCTACCTTCTCACAGCATGCCGCGAAAACGGATAGCTACGCCATCTACTGTTGGGTCAAGAAAGTGGATGAATAGCCACAGTTCGGTGAGACTTTGAAATGACTGTGATAACAGCGAACACTTCTCGTGAAATACAAGCGATGACCCTCACCTGCAGTCATGGATGTTGCGGATCCTTCCACTACAATAGCATGTCCTATCGCTGCCTGCACACTAAGTTTGCACATTCACCGTGACATCAAATTGCGTTATTTGAAGTCGTCAGCACTGATAAACATATCGTGCCGTCTTCTATTCACATGGGAGGTATAAGAACTGATAATCTCAGCGAACAACTCACCATCGTCTCATTCTTATTCACTCGTGTCCTCCGGAGTCTGGTCTTTACTTCATCCACAGCCGTCGATGGTGAGGCCTGCTTCGCCAAAGACGAGGATTGAAAGCCTGCCAACGCAGATAGTTTATTTCTCAAGGTGTCAGTTTATGCAGGTGTTATAGGCAAATAAGCCACGCACCTGTCTTTCCAGAAACGCAATTTCCACATGCAGAGCACTGATCTCGGGGTAATACTATAATAGAGATGAACACTGCACGCCGGGTCGCGCCCAAACTTGACGGTAACTGTCTCCTCGTCGATTTGGAATGCTGCTACCTGTTCATCAGTCATTCCGCTTCATTAGTAGCCGCAGCGTACCAAACAGCCTTATTTCGCTGACTGATGAGCAAGACTTGTGCAGTTTGTTCGGTTGGCGTCACGCGACACGTGCAGGTCATGTGATCGCGTCGTTAACTTCATAGCGGTCGCGAAACAACTTGTGCCTAGCCCCATCGTCGACCACAAGAATGCCGAATCAGAATATCATTAAAAAATTATGTAGTATATCATAAGTACCATGATCGAGAATTATAAGTGCGGCACTAAACTAGTCCACGACACCGCCTTGTATGCGTCAGGAGGAAGATTGCGTAAAGTAGTGAACATAAGTACCAAGAGGATGGCACGTCCTGCGGCGTACAACACGGCATATACCGGGAAGCCGGAGAGCAATAAAGTGAGGAAACCAAACAAGGGTGTGAGAGTTATAGCAGCGGCACTCATGCGCCATAGGACCTGTTCCTCGTATGTGGGGAAGGTAAAAAACCAAGCCATACAATGAATGCCGCCAAATATTGTTACCATAAGGAATCCAACAAGTAGAAGAACCAAAAGGTTTGAAGCCTCGATTTCGATACTTCCATCAAATGTTGGAACTCGGAGCTTTCGAGATAGGGGAGTGAGAGCCTGAGGTGAGCCTATCAGTTCTTCAATTGAGCGGCAGACTGGAAATAGGATTCCCCGTTCAGCGACTTGGTCATTTTCAGGGACACTAAGGCAGACAGAATCAGCAGTGGTATAATTGTTGAGGCGCATACATACCCAATGTCGTGATCCTCAGGCTTTGACTCGGTCGATTTCCAGTACACCGGATGTGGACATTGCACACCGAGAGGCTTATTCCACCACACAGCATAAGTGAGGAAATTTAGAACCGCAAAAGCGAGTGTTCCCACTTCGAGCTGGGTGGTTTCGAGGTGATAGATGGCGCGGGTGATGAGCTGCACAACAAACCAGACCACTTGAAGGATGGTCAATCCTTTCGAAATTGCATTGCCTTTGCTCTTGTCGTGGATCTGCTTTACTGTTAGAGTAGGGGCGTCGATACACCCGGCACGTATTAGCTTGAGGAGCTCGTCAGGCTGTAGTGTGTGATAGGGCTTCCCGTCCACATAAAGCATGAAACCACCCATCAGCACAAAGAAGCTGTGTTCTTGAGTCCACGTATAATCTAACGATGTACGTGAGCCAAATATAAAGTATGTTTGAGAGAAACGGATCGTGCTTACCTTCAGATTGTTCTGAAACATAAACCTTACACAACTTTCTGAATTGCTTCGTAAGAGTACGAGTTCCCTCATGTTTTGAAGTGGGCACTAGGATACTAGTATGAACTTGCGAAGAAACACGAGCACAGATGATGATTCACCTTCGGGATGCGCTATGAGAAGCAGTGTGCTATGATTATTTTGAGAAGCAAGTGAGCCATGAGGAAATGATTGGTGGTTCTTTGATAGAATGTCGAGTTCATCTTCAGCGTGTTGCTCTGAGGGTGCTTCGATAGACCAATCTGAGGACTTGTGTAGTGAGTTGTGAGTGGCAGAGTTTCCGAAAGCAAGACTCACCATCAGACTGCTCCTGCTCGGGACGAACACTGGGATACCCGGATTTCTTGAACTGTCTTGTAACCTGACGAGCACTGAACCACTGGCGCATAGCCCATGTGACGATGAGTTCAGGAGCGATTAGTGCCACTATCATGATGCCAAGTCGTCGCCATAGAATAAGAAGGGGGCTGTCCTTAGGACTTGGAATATTAGGGTGAATGGCACTGTATATGCACGCAAATAGAGTGAAAACGGAGCTGGCGATGATGGTCCATATGGTTCTGGTCGTGAATGATGGGGCTTCAACACTGTCATTAGTAGTAGTAATAGTAGTAGTAGTAGTAGTCATAATAGGTGCAGCTTGGATTACCCCAACGAAGTAGAGAAAGAGGCAGAGAGGTACTGACTTGAAACACGACATTGGATGGCACTTTGGTGTGTATGCATCCTGATCTGTATTTGTATGTTACCTGCAGGGCGGGCGTTAACTCAAGGCAGTACAGTGTACGACATATGACAATATTTACGCGTAGGCTTGCCTGATGCCTTCGCAGTGATCGCGTATAAATAGCAATATACTTGACTTTGTCAGTCCGTAGATGGCGCTACTTATGACATGCGCCTAGGGAGGTAACCAAGTTCGTGCGACAGGCGTGAGTGAGAGTGAAAAACATACGTAACGCTGCGGTGAGATCGGATTGAATGCAAGATTCGATGATTAGCCAGCTGGCCATACTGTAAGTACAATCAGAGGGCAACACCGATACAGATTAGCAGGTGTACTACGGGGATGCTCATTGCCTCTATCTAAGTATAGTAACATTACGGACCGGGTCACCCCAGGCTGTGTCCTCGGACCCGCAGGGATGTTGCCGGTGGATCAATCGAATCTCGCACTGTCACTCACGCCTTCACCCGTCATGTCCTTTTCGATATGCTTTCAAGTAGTGTTGCTGGTAGACTGAACTCAGTTTGAACTCACTTCGAAAATGAGGCAGTTCGTTACAACCTGGTTTGTTACACTTCGATCAAACATTTTCGTAAATGAGGCGATGCAGCAACCCGATTTGTCTAATCGCACGCCAAGATGAAGTAGAAGCGCTATACGACTTGATCGCAAAGGAGGAAGACTATGCCATTTCTGGACCTGTGACACAAAGGGCTATGGAGGAGCTGATATCAGGATCTCGTTCGACAGACGATAGCATCTTAGCGTAGATTTAAGCTTGGCGCACATAGCCACTTCATATCTGCTGTGTATATCACACGGACACCTGATTGGCTGGTTTCATAGCCGACTTTCTTTTAGTTCAGTTCGTTTGACTTCGACAAACGAAGTGGGACCGAACTCACACTTCGTTTCAGTTCAGTTCACTTCGCGGCAGCACTACTTTCAAGTTGGCGCAGATGCATTCGTCGATGCGAGCAATCAGCGAAACAGTTGTGGGCTGGAAGAAACTTCAAGCTTCAAGTGTCGGAGGCTAGTCCTGAGAACGAACGGCCTTGGGCGCACGCTGCCTCTTTGCAAACGCTTCAATCCTTACGTTTCTCGAATCTCTACTTCATCAGAGCTCGCAGATATCCCACGTGTTTGCCATGACAGAGATTGTAGCTCTCACACCCTTATCCTTGCGAGTATTCATACAAAAAGTTCTCGATTGAATGTTTGCACCTCCACTACTCGCTCTATGATGACGTCTTCACGTACTCGAAATGGTACATCCCGAGAAACTTACACGGTTGCCGCTTCTCACGGGAACGACATCAAGGGAGGATGCTAGCAACGAATCGATCGTCCTCGACTCTCGCATGTTGGATCCGCTCCTATCGTTCAAGGGACTCGATCACTTGGACCTAGGGCATTCATGCACAACGCATATGGATGATACCTTTCTCAGCGAGTTGGCTCTGACTTGTCCAGGCCCTGAAGGCACTCTACTTGGGTGACCATAATGCCTGACTCATTGCTCCGTTGCTGACCTTTGATGGAGTCGCATCTCTCTTGAAGCAGTGCTACCAGTTGTCCTCTTTCGGAGTTTTTTTCGACGCCACTTTCGAAAGTGACACCATATATGCGGCTTGAAATTAATGACTTTCTTGTCATAGTTTGCAGAACTCGCAGGTTGAGCGGCCCTTGATGGTTCTATCGTTACTGGTGCCGGAAAGGGTTGTCTTGACTGCTGCGAGGACGAGAAGCGAACGGCACCCTGGCAGACTATGCAAGATATTTCGTTTATGATGGTCAGTATTGCAGTAGAGAGTTTGTGCAAGGGAATTTCAATTCCACTTTCAGTTTTAACGATGGCGGCCAAAATGCGCCAGTATACTGTTTCTAGTACTGTAACATGGTACTAAGAGCAGACGACACTCCATCCTTTCCACTCTGTTCTACCCTCCTGGATATCAAGAATCTTTTTCCGGAGTGCCGTGCCAACTGGGCCCATCTCAGCCCCAGTCGGAATTACGATGTCCTTACCCTCGTACCCAATTCTATTGCAAGGTCCAACAATGACCGCTGTGCCTATGACTAACGCCTCCAGCAATTTGCCCTCGGACGACCATTTCGCGAGGTCACTCATGGTATACACTACTTCTTGTGGGTGTAAGCGCAATGAGCTTTCTTTCTGGAATTCCGGATCGCTTGCGAGGGCAAGGCATGATGCTCTAGTGACTCCAGGTAGAATAGTGCCGTCCAGAGGTGCGGTGATGAGATCGACGCCTTCAACGGATGAGTTCATTTATATATCTAATTTTGTCCAATTGAAACTCACCGTCCCCATCATCCCTCTTGACTACAACGAAGAAGTTCATCGCTCCAGCCTCTGTGATTCTTCTGTCATCACCAAACAGCCAAAGGATTTGTTCGTAGCCTTTCTCTGCAGCAGCGCGTTGGGGTAGGAAGCCAGGTGAGTAGTTGCCAGCGACTTTGTGCCCTCCAGTTCCACCCGGCCACGCGCGCACATTTTCACTGACCGCAAGGAGAGAAACAGGTTTCAACACTTCATAGTATGGCCCAGTTGGCGATGCAAGAATGTAAAGCATGGCATGGTCGGACGCTATCACTCCCAAACCTACGTTGCAATCAGGTGAATACTCGTATACCGTTGACTCATTCCACGAACCTGGGCGGGTTGCGATGACAGTAGGACGCATATACAAACTATATCCAGATTCTTTGGGTATCCAGCGCCTTTCAAGATTCACCAGACACTTTACCAGTTCCAGAACCACATCTCCGTCGATAGGCTGCATGGGTTAACGAAGTCAGAGTCACTACCTGCAAGATCGTCATTGTACTCACGGGAAGAGCGAGACGTGCACAAGACTTCTCCATTCGGCGCATGTTCATATCTGGGCGGAACAAGCGTGCCTTCCCGTCAGGCCCAAGATAAGCCTTCATACCCTCGAAGACATTTCCGCCATACTGGAAGCACGAGCATGCAGGATCAAGTGTAATGGGTCCATGGGGCTTGACCTCTGGCGCGGACCACCCTATTTCAGGGTCATAAGTTGCAACGATCATGTGGTCCGAGAATGACTGGTATCATTATCGTTAGACTGACATGGATATGGTTGTCAGAGGTGTTGCTCACCTGGCCGAAACGTAATGTCTCGATGGGTTGCAAAGGCTTCAATGTCGTTGCAAGCGTGATGTTGAGCTTGGATGCCTGCCGCAAACAGCGTTGGCGTTATACATGACTACGTTCAGCAGGCGGCACACTCACATCGAGTGCAGCAAGGCTTCTCGGGTTGGCAGAGTCACCCGTTTGGCCTGCTGCTAGAGAAGTGATGCTATCTTTATCACCCATGGCTATTGTGATCAAAGAGAAAATACGCGTTATCAGTTCAATCCATGTTTTTATAAGTTGCGCTATGACTGGGAAAATATCTGACAAGGATGACTCGATCAAGGTCACCTAGGCCTTCGAAGAAGTTTGAAGTGTATGATCGGATCGGATCGCCATACTTCCAAATGGAATCGTCCATAGACCATGGGCGAGCCAACGCAAGACCCCTGATACTGCCCACTACAGCTGCCGGATTCCCAAAAAGGTCATATAACTGTACCTAGGGTTAGGGTTATGCGACCTTAACAAGCCACGCCCTGAACCGCGATTTCCTTCTGCAGAGCATTGATCTCCCGATAATAGAGACGGACGCTACACGATAGGTCGCGTCCAAAAGCAACTGTCTCTCTGTCGATTGGGACTGCTGCTACTTGCTCACCAGTCGTCCGTTTCATTAGCCTGAGCGTCCCAAACAGCCCTATTTTGCTGCGGTCCACGGTGATGAGCAAGTTCAAGCAAGACTTGGGCCGAGTTTGTTCGGTTCGTGTCATGTACCTAGAGGCTAGGTATCGTCGACCACAAGGGTGCCGCATCCGAATATCATTACAAAAGTATGAAGTGCATAATTGAAGTACCATCATCCATGATCAAGAATTATAAGTGCGGTACTAAACTGATCCACGACACTGCCTTGTACACGTCAGGAGGAAGATTGCGTAAAGTGGTGAACATAAGTACCAAGAGGATGGCACGAGCTGTGATGTACAACATGACAGATACCAAAAGCATCAGGCTACATACAAGTACTACGACCCTCTGGACTAAATTTCCTGTGAGATTCACAAGAAAACAAAGCAGGGGTGTGAAAGTTATAGCAACAGCACTCATGCGCCATAGCATCTGCTCCTGGTATGTGGGGAAGGCAAAAAACCAAGCCATACAATGGATGCAGCCAAATATGGTTGCCATAAGCAATGCAGCGAGCTGAAGAACCGTCTTTTCCCCATCTTCGAGTTTGATGCTGCCATCAAATGTTGGAACTCGGAGCTGTCGAGACGTATGAATGGGATGCGAGCCTATCTGTCCTGCAATTGGACGGAATACTGGAGCTAAGATCCCAAGCCAAGCGAGTTTGTCTCCTTCAACACTAAGGCAGACACAATCAGCAGCAGTATAATTGTTAAGGCGCATACATACTAAATGTGATCCTCTGGCCTCAACTCGGTCGACTTCCAGTACACTGGATGTGGACATCGGACATTGAGAGGCTTGTTCCACCACACAGCATAGGTGAGGAAATTGAGAACCGCAAAAGCGAGTGTCCCTGCTTCGAGCTGGGTGGTTTCGAGGTGATAGATGGCACGGGTAATGAGCTGCATAACAAACCAGGCCACCTGAAGCATGATCAGTCCTTTCGATATCGCATTGCCTTTGCTCTTGTCCTGGATCTGGTTCGCCGTTAGGGTGGGAGCGTCTATACACTTTTTGCGTATCAGTTTGAGAATGTCATCGGGCTGTAGTGTAAGGTACGGTTTCCCATCCACATAAAGCATGAAACCGCCCATCAGCACAAAGGAGCTGTGCGTCTGAGTCCAAGAATCATCTAAGGATGCACATCAGTCAGCATTTGGGTGAGGACGAATTGGACTTACCTTCAGAATGCTCTGAGAAATGAGCCTTAACCGACCTTTTGACCCAACTCGCGAGAGCACCAGGGAAATGCCAAAGAAACACAGGTACATGTGATACACCTTCATCAAGCGTTACAAGGAGGCGAAGGAAGCAAATTTCACGTTGCTTAGGCGCTTCAACAGACTGCTTTTCTAAGGACGTGTATAGTGAGTTGTAAGAGCAGAGTTTCCAAAAGCACAACTCACCTTCCGACTCCGGACCAATCCTGGGATACCCCAATTTCTTGAACTGTCTTGTAACACGGCGAGCACAGATCCGCTGACGCATAGCCCATGTGACGATCAGTTCAGGAGCGATTAGTGCCATTATCATGATGCCAAGTCGCCGCCGTATGATGCAATTGGGACTGTCCTTAGGACTCGGAATGTTAGGGTGAATGGCACTGTATATGCATGCAAATAGAGTGAGGACGGAGCTAGAGATGATGGACCATAGGGTTCTGGTCGTGAATGATGGGTCTTTAAAACTGTCGGTGGTAGTAGTACTTGTTAACGTTGTATTTATTGTTGGTGCAGCTTGGATGACTCCAACGAGGTAGAAGAAGATGCAAAAAAGTACTAGTAAGGGCATTATTGGATGTTACTTGGGTGTATCGTACACGTATCATCTAGCATGTTGTCCTGTCCACTATTTGTATCTCAGAAGGTACAACATTAATGAGGCCCTGGCTTGCCTGATGTTTGCAGCATGGCAAGCAGATCCGGGACTCGGAAGTATCTCTTCATCGGACTGAGCTCAAGTGAACCAAACTGCAGCCGGTCTGTGACGCGTGACGGCAGCTGGCTGGGGCCTCCAATAACATTGTACTAATTACGACACACGTCAAGCCCGGTGTGGTTGTCGATGGACATCTTACGATTCTCTATTCGAACTGCCTCTGGTTCGCAGCAGTCCTGGCTGACAGTGACAGCTCTTCTTATAACAACTCGGATATGTACGACTCCGGGGCCGAGTCCATTGGTAATGAACCACATATAGTGCTAGCACCCTCCCAAGCTTGCACTGCCGGCGCTTGCAGCATGCGAAAGAGATTTCAAAGGCTGGCAATGATTCACGTTAGTACATGCCTTCGACGTTCTAACTTGAAAACCAATGTTTCATTACTATTCCAATCGCAGGCTTCTATCTGCCACTATACTAATTCCACTTGGTGAGCTTTTAATCTGCTTAGAGCACAGCCAGACTTCATGCACCAGGATGAATATTGCAATAACGCCCTTCGAAGCTTAGTGGGATTGAATATCCTTGTTGCTTTCACTCGGACAATCACAAATTGCATCCCACTTGAAACGGTTGAGGTTACCCTGTGCATTAGAAGACTAATGTGAACGGTTCGTATCATAACTCACACATAATTCAGCCGCAGTGCAACTCACTTGTCAACTTCCTAGATCAGATCAAAATTCCAAAGCTGGGACCCCATATTCATAGGTCGACTAGATACCCGATTGTTTTGAGACTGCGGCGCATTTGCTGTACACCTGCGACAGGGTTTACAAGCGAAATCTCTCACACAACGAAGGTATGTGTGACCATCGCGAATAAGCTATGGGTTATCGTGCTGATTGTAGGCTTAGGCGAACGGTTGTCAGGGTCAAATCATACACCCGGACTGGGGTTCGACCTGGTTCGATGAATAACTGACATCCTTTGATACATCCAGGGTAATCTGCGTAACCGAACCGAACCGTGTTAATGCAATGTCTTTTATTCACTCATCGGCACCCTCAAGTCGATCACCACGGCATCGAAGGCTTACTGGCGCCTCAAGAACAGGATTGATAAGGCCCAACAAAACGTGTGCATGTACGTGTGAGCGTCTGTTCTAATAGCCTCCACGATAAGTACCTTGAGGCTTGTGCTGTCCGAAAACAGTTAACAGTGATGACCCAGGCCTAACGCGTGTCCAATGACATAATTTGCTTTACCCTCTCTTCGGCCAACTAACGTTAAACTGGGCCGTTGGTTCAGTGACGAGAATTTTCAGCCGATCACGACTAAGACTTCTTAGCAGTCCTGGAGAGAAAATTCACATCTTCGATTTCCAACGCCAGGATGCCCTTGGGCCTTGCCTGAATATCACCGATTGACATAACATATCTAGCTAACGCAAGAGAAATGCCCTCCCCAGTATTCTGGCGCTGCGGGGGATGTTTGTGGGCGGCGAGTTGGGAAACCGAGTCAAAAATTGAAGAACGATCTCCGCACCAATGGTCCACTTACGTGTCAGCTTGAGTACCTCATCAGGCTGCAGCTGTAGTGTGGAGTTCCTCGTCCATATGTAGCTAACTCATGAACGTAAAAAAGCTGTGTTGTAAATCTAGGGATGAATGTGAACGGCAGGGGGGATAGGTGGTTTGAAAGGACACGAATCAGAATTACGATTGCTCTGAGAAACAAGCCTTCGACTACTTTTTGGATCACCCCGAAAGAGTCCGAGTTCCCGCATATCCTGCACCACAGGGATATGACTATTGAAGAAAAAACAAAGTGCAGATGACTCACTTTGAGAATGCTGTGTGGGAGCTTCATGACTGAAATTCAAGAAGCAATATCAATCCATATATTTAATATTGTCTCGTCGCTGATCCATCTCACTAAGCATATTGCAAAGAGCGGACTCAGACACAGAGATAAGCGCACACTAGTGCGTTTCAAAGCTGTAAACATATGCACCTAAATTCATGGTATCATGTCTAATGGCAAGAGTCAGAACTAGGTATAGCGAGTAGCTAGATAAATATAACGAATGTGCAAACATACCTCAGGAATAACGACTGAAGGAAAAAAGATTAACGAACGTGTGACTATAGTAGGCGTTGCGTTCCGACGCGTACTGATATGTATATCTCAACAGTCCTCGCGAGTAAATACTAGAGCGATGCTAGAACATCTGACTTTCCACGCCTTATTAATGCCATAGAATAATTATTAAATGTCCCCTTCGCAATAACTTGTCACTCACAGTCGGTTTCTAGTACGCGCAAGTCTTTTCTGCTTCCCTCTAACTTTCCTCTCACTGCGAATCAGACAGGCCTGTCGAATGAGATCTTGCAATTCTTGTTCCGCCTGTTGCTTCAAAGAATCGTATCCGAGTTCTTCAGCTGGAGCAAATGTCGAAAATAGACGTCCGGCGCCATCATACATGATATGTTTCTCGACCCACTGATGGGCAGCTTGGCGATCGTCCAGTCCTTTGACTACGACGACGACCGGCACCACGTTCCCGCGGTATGCTGTACAAAACGCGTAGAACTTCTGACGAGCTGCAGAAAGCTCGTCAGCGCGAGCGTAGTATATGAGAAGATCCCCTTCAGGCCTTCTCTCGGCATTTGAAGATGAAGAGTCCAGTGCAGGAACACGGTGAACCTGATAATTGTCCCCGCCGATGCGCACAAAGTAAGGCTTCAAGGTACCACGGATGCAGTGTGCGATCTCGACTTCTTCGTTTCGAGATGGGTCGCAGATGATGAGAGCGGAGGGCAGAGACCTTTCGCTATTCCCACTATCGCTGATCATGTTTCGCACAGCAGCAAAAGACTGTTTGAACCAGCTGTCGTCAACCACCCAATCCGAGCAATTCTTGACGACAAGGTTGCGTAGAGTTTCAGAAGACTCTTCGATACGACGGGTGAAGACATCTGAGATGCCCGAGTGTTTTTGAAGCGTTGTGACGCATGCATGGTCTTCGAAATGCATGCCGCGACTCTTGAATTCCTTCTCATTGGCACCCCACCAGCTCTCCATGTCCGGCTCGTTCTCCAACCCTGTGACGACGACGACAATCGGGACCTTCTTTCGGCAGATAGCAGAGTAAAAAAGGTTGTAGTTCCGAATAAGAGCGCGACGGGCTCTCGTGCTACGCACGCAGTATACCAGAAGGCCGATCCCATCCGATCTAGGGCTCATGAGCTCATGCAGCAAGCTCTTCAAGTTTTCGTCCGCCTTTGCCGCCGGCACCGTGCCTGCAGTGCCCTCATTGAGACCCGCAGTGTCGAATAGGACAAACGTCTGGCCAGAAATTTCGACTCTATGGCGTTGATAGGCGAACGTGCATCCAGTTGCACTGCTAGATGTCTTCGCTAGCTGCGTTTGCGCGATCGCATTGATGACTGAACTTTTCCCTGAGCCACTGTCACCGAAGATGACAATATTTCTTTCTAGCGGCCGAATCTGCTACATTTATCAGTAAGCCTTGGGGTTATGTGATTCAAGAAGTAGGCCACGTACTTTGCTCATTGATGCCTGTGGCAGTAGGGGTGGGGGAGGAGATGGCAGTGGTGACGGCGAAGATTGTTGTCCTTGTTCGGGGGCCGTTATGCCGCGTTGACTCGAAGCAGACGAGCGCAAGTCGAGTGCCTCTAGGTGGATGTCAAGTGCTATTCTTTCGTAAAGGTCAGAAGGATCGCCGTGGTGATTGAAACGGTGCCCGAGAGTGTCCGATAAAACGCCGGGGAGAATACTAAGTTGATCATCATCAGCACGACATACTGCCAGTGCTTCACGTGACAGATGAACAGCCTCATAGAAATGGTCTTTATTGCCGTCTCGTTCAAACCGTGCATAGAGGTCTCCAGCAAGCTTGTTTAGTGAGTATGCACGTGGGTGCCGTGGCGGACAAAGTTCAAGCACAATTCGCCGAAGCGATATACTCTCGTCCGAAGGATCACTAGGAAGTGTGTTGCACTGCTCGATGACATATGGTATGCCGTTGGTATCGAATACTACTTGATGGAGATGGCTGCCCTCGACACAAAGCGGTAGAATGGAGCGGTAAAGATCTGCGGCCTCACGGAGATCGGAATGGTCCCTTTTATGGGCATGACGCTTGCAGAGAGCATGGCAAAGGTCGAGGATGGATAACGGATGTTCGATATGTCCTCGGGGACGGAGCGTGAGTGCGGATCGGAAAAGGTGAATTGCTCGGTCAATATCGCTTTCAATAGTCTTGGCGAAACCACATAAAATGGCATGAGCAAGGTTGGAAAGCGCTGCAGCGCGATGTGCATGACCATGGGGACATTGGTCAAGCACTGCCTGAAAACCCTCAATGGCGCTATGGAAGTGCTCGCGAAGGTTGCTCCTCCAAAAGAGGGTGTATGCATCGCGTGCTGCATCAGTTTCAAGACCGATTTTACACTTGAAATTTAATTATATTAGCATTGACCGTAAGTCGTTGAATTGATGAAATACCTGCATGGTACCGTCTGCATCGTAGTATGGTACTTTTTTACGCCGTGCCTTCAATTTAAGAGATATACGCTGATTATCAACAGCCAGGAATGATACTTCGAAACCGCTGTCAGGGAACAACGACATTGTGAGAAGTAAGAACTCACCGGACTGTCCGTCGTGCGCAAGCAATTGTTCTAAAGTCGTCTCAACTGTACCCACAAGCTCGCCTCGACCAAGCATTTGGCCACACTCAAATGAGGCGCGAATTTCGAGGCGGATTCTTTGGAGGAGCTGGAAAAGAAGGGTAGAAGCCACATGGGAAACATCAGTGGGCTTCCACGGATGGTGAGGGTCTCATTCCAAGAAACACTGCAGTCGGCCATTGCAGCCTTGATGGCAGTGTTCCACTGACCATAGGAGGTGGAGACAAGGACATAATGGCCCGCTGGTGTGCGATTAGATGGAACGGCAAGGTTTTGGCCAGTAATCACTGCATGCACGTGGGAATATGAGAAATGTGAGATAGAAGGATAATTATGAGAGGTATGATACCTTCCAGTACTAAAACATGTCCGCCCAGCATGTATAGAACTTATATAAGGCCGGCGTATTAAGCTGCTTGATAGGCTCAGTGATAGTGGAGGATTTGGAGGAAAGCGGCTGCAAGAGGATGCAGCTTTAGTATGAATCACGGCGACATGCCAGCTAGGATTCTCTGTGAGCATTTTCATGCGCATGTTCAAATGTGAAAGTTCCGACATGACCTGTATACTATTGCATTGCCTGTATGTTGGAGAGACGCTCAAGCGAAAGTGAATGTGTTCGAGGCAAGGAGGCGGTTCTGATTTAATTAATACCAATTATGTAACGTGTTCGAACTTCGAAGTGACCCACAATGTTCCGTTTCTCTCGATATCGATCATTGATTGAGTTACTTCAGGATCACAGCTCGAGCTTCAAGTGGACTTACCACCTCAGGCTCCACAAATCGCGTTAGTGAGCGCTTGGAGAATCGGAACTTATCCGAGATAGCAGCGCCACATCTCAGGGAGGAGCACCGTGCTGGTGACGATCGACCATGCCTGCATGTGGTTGGTTGGGCAGGAAACCTGCGATAATCCTGGAGGCCGGCCCCTATTTAGAATTCTTATGGACTCTGTCCTTCCTACAGTGACTGCCATTTGATTCCGGGAGAATGCGGAACCAGAAATCCAGCAGGGTTGTGAGCTTCTGGTAAATTTGCAGTGAACTTGATTCATTGTTTTTTTTAGCGTGTTCTCTCTTCGATGTCATCAAGATGAATGAAATTTGAACCTGTTCGAGAACGGTCCAGGTTGTAGGCAAGTCGTCCTGTTAAAAATTTCGAGGTTTCACTGTGTCCGAGATGCTGTGTTGTCTCGGAAGCACGCCAAAATGCAGCGTGGTGACTCAGTCGGTCTTTTAATTATATACTGGCACCAACGTTTTTTCGACGTGTACTCGCATTTGAAGGTTCATTAATACAACGGTTCGTCACGGTAGTAAGAGTGTTGCTCGTGCGAGGTACTCGGTTTGTAGTGCGTCCATCCAGATTCCAAACCTCGATGTTCCTGCTAATGTACTTCATGTTCACCTCTGCTCATTCCCGCCAATGCTGGTGTCTTATCACTGGACGACATCGCGACTTGCAGTGGTATCGCACGCTGTATAGCATTATCTCAAGTTGTATCCTCACCCTTTTCGCCTGCACATGGACTTCGATCCATCTGAACATTTCATGTCATTCGCCACGTGCCGGAATCATACTCGCCGCTTTGGTTGCTCCAAAGTTAGTGATCTTATGGGCCATGCGGCAAATCTTCCACGCGGGCAAGTTTGTAAATAAATTCAATGATGAATTATTCAAGGGTGAGTCGATTCGTGAACCGGGATTACCACTTAGCGTTACAGGGAGTTTCCGGTGGAGTAGGACCCATGGGTTCTTTGCCATGATGGGCGGGTTTATACTCTATTACAACGGTCAACCTCATCACACCCTGCCCGACGAACTTTTCGACTTCATACTTTCTGGGAGAGTCGATCAAAACCAAGCTGTAGAGATAACTGGGGATGAGATTAAAGACAAGAGTAAAAGGGACGTGGTCTCCAAGGCAGTCCTTGTCCTACAGATCACCTGGTTTCTTACTCAATATGTCACCCGCTACATCAAACACTTGGTAATTACGCAACTTGAAGTTGGCACGCTGGCGTTCGCCGTGCTGAATATCATCACCTGCTGTTTCTGGTGGAAGAAACCCCTTAATGTGCAGCGTCCTCATCGTGTGTATTTCAAGGACGAGGTACAGGAACCCTGTAACATCAAGTAGGTTGAACAACGTCAAATTCGCCGCTTCTCACTAACGAATTGAGTTAGAGAAAGAGGTGATTCCGACGAATGGGATACACCGATTTACCGCGTTTTCGGACCATTTTTTGGCATGCTGGGCGGCCTCGTCGACCATAAAGATGACCTGAAACTTTATTACGAGCCTCTTCGGGTTCCCACATTTTTGCCGATTACCAACGCCTTCAATTGTAAACGAGACACCAAGATAATAAGTCTTGTCGGACTTGTAGTGATGGTCATTTTCGGTGGACTGCAATTTTTCGCATGGTTTTCCCTCTTCCCTACACACCTAGAGCAAGGTGAGTACGCTCATCATCACTGGCTTACCTTTGTTTGTTGTCCCGTGCATGCTGCTCGTCTCTATCGGCGTCGCCGAAACGGCGGCGGTGTAGGATTGTTCTTGTTCTTCATTTTACCAGTGATATATTTCGTTGCACGTATAGTCTTACTGACACACATGGTTATTGATTTGCGATCGCTTCTTTCTGACGCCTACAAGCAGTATCTTGGATATATCTCTTTCCTTATTTGTAGCAATCTATACTTACTAGGATTGTTTGCAACACCTTAGCGATGCTCAATTTCAAAGACGACACTAAACTCCGTAGTTTCTTATCAACGCTCGAGTTTCATACGTGGCCTAGTGCCCGCTGTTAACCAATATTTGCTAGCTAACTAACTGCCCCTGTCCTCTCCAATCTGATGTCAAGTTCAGTTTCTTGCGCTGATCGTCACATACCAATCACACATGATGACAAAGCCATGCCGCCTCATGCATCTGTCACAGTCGCATTGGCAGACCGCCGTACTTGTTGAGTCAACCCTGATAAAGTGTGTTAAACTGTATAAGATCGTCGCTGTATACAAATGCTAAACGGATATCGAATCTCCAGGCAAATGCCAGTTTGTAAATGAAAGCCTCACTGCAAGTAATCTTGGCACCGAGACTTCTTAAAATGAGGCTTTCATTTGCAACAACAAATGGTATACCCATGGATAAATGGGTCTGCTGGGAGCCACTTGGCCAACCGTCATCTTCGATATCTGGTCCGCGGGAGATGTTTGCCGGGTAAACCCGATTAAGTACCATCTTCGAATGAACTAGTGAGTAACTAACGCCCGAACATATCGCTGCATGCATCATCTCAAGTGATTACTGTAGGGTTGTTCTAGCGCGCAAAGGTCTGACAACAAGAGCACAATTTATAGCCTACAATCACCTAGAACAATGTCGTTCTAAATTCAACCTCCCTTCCTGCATCCCCGGTACTCTTTTACATCCATGGCGCACGCGCCCAGCACAGCTCCACTAAACTTCATTGTCTTCGGTGAGATGGGCGTCGGGAAGAGCTCGTTGATAAATCTCGTTGCTGGGAAGACACTCGCCAAGTCCTCTGCCGGTTTTAAAATCCTGCACTCCTCGAATCAACCGAGGTATACAATCGCATTATCTGAACCCCAGCTTAATGTCAAATTATTTGATACAGTGAGTACGTGAATTGTTCCAACGTGCCGATATTTTAAGTCGAGACCCATACAGGTGGGGTTGAATAACACCACAATGAATGACAAGAGTTATCTAGATGCGCTAGTGAAGGCGCATAAACTCATCGCCTCCCTCCAGAACCAAGGAGGTGTACACGGCTTGCTGTTCTGCATCAAGGGCGGCAACAGAATATTGGAATCTACGCAGCAGAACTACAGGTTGTTCCACGAGTTCCTGTGCCAGGAGAAGGTGCCCCTTGCTCTGGTCATCACCAACCTCGAGAACGTAGAGAACATGGATGACTGGTGGATGGAAAACCAGGATGTTATTAAAGAGTATGGAATAGCTCCCGTTACGCAGGTCTGCATCACTACCATCAAGGGCCTCAAAAACGTATACGAAGAAAAATACTCGGAATCCAGGAAGAAAGTATGTGATATGTTGACTACGCTTGGAAGGGGAGATGCGTGCTTGGTGGATATTAACTGGTTTGCGCGGATGTGCAAGAGGGCTGCGGCAGTTTTTCATTCCAGGCAAGGCGCTAGGGAAGAGTCGTGAAAAGATGTTACAGACGCTCACGAAGCGTTGCAAGCTGCCCAAGCAAGATGCAGTGCAGCTTCTTCAAAGGATTGAATCCGACGGCGAGGAGAACTAGTGACTTGACTAAGGCTCTTGTATTTTATTGAACATGATACTCATAGACTACCCAATACTTAGTAGTATATCCAATTATCTAGCATGCTGTCATACATATACCCCCGTCTCGCAATCGATCCACTCTGCTCACAAATGTTTGCACTGTGGTCAAAAATTCCGAACCATATGGTATACTGGCGGCCTGGCTTACTACGCCCACACCGGTCTCTCCTGAGAGCTGCCTCCTATGTTGGACCCTTGAAGCTGTGAAGCTGTGTGCAACGTCGATCGATAACCCTCTTCTGTTTGTTCGCAACACGTTTGGATGTGCAATTTGGTCAGCTTTAAATCCTGACGTGTCATACCTTTCGGCGTCCTGAAGAACAGCCCCGCATGATCGTGGCAGGGAGCACCAATTCATAATACTGCTGCTGCGATATTGCAAGCGCTGTCAGGGACTCCGATCTGTGCCATGGCGCTCGTAGTCTTCCTTAATCAGTGTCGTTAACGTCCCTTTTTTAATAATGTGGCAGCCAATGACTGCTTGTCTAGCCACCGTGACGAGGTCAGGGTTCCACCATGCTTGCACAAATAAGTTCAAAAGTACTGATTAGACCCTCGAGAACCTCACGATAAATGCTCATTTGAACAGCATGGTGCTGCAGGGCTACATAGCAGTAGCAAGTGCGCCCGTCTTTGAGAAATTACTTGGGAAGCGTCCGACTGCATTGAGTTGAATGAGAAGAAATGAACATGCACCGTGCGCGACTATAAACAGCTCTGATAAACCAGCAGCAGATTGCTAACCGTCCGCGCTTGTGGCAGGAATATAAGGGCGAGAGAAACGGAGTGCCACACATTCTGCTGGCAGTAGCCGGAGGGCAGTGATAGGAGGGCAGGTGAGAAACATGCCGCGGCAAGGCGTTCTGTCTGCTATGTCAGTCACGTGTATGTTCAGCCACCGACTCAACGATACGATAGTTGGAACTTGGCCTCTACTAGTTCACTGCTCTATTGGCGCTATCTTCGGAGTCGCCGACGACATCGATAGTGCAGTGGAGAAGCGTAGATTTGTTCTGCGCTCTTTGTCGTTTCGTGTCATTCGTGTTTGAGACGATCAACTGCCTCCACTGGCAGGACCCAGGTGGCTTTTCATGAAATCACTGCGTGACGCGATGCTAATCTAGTACTATCGGATTTAGATGTTGGAAATGAAAGCCTCATGAATACTGCGTGTATATGGATGCAATAATTCTGTTGGACGATGCCGCCCTTGGTCATGGGGGACCTTCTTCAGCGGGTAAATCCGATGGTTCTCTTCTAACGCGCAGCCTTCATGCATGAACTGATCTAGGGCGTCAAATAGTAGCATACCTGACAGGGTGACAGAGGTGTGTCATCCTAACAATGAGCATTCAACATTTTGTATATACCCTGGAGCTCTCGCTCCACGCCTCCCGTCTTTGCTCCCACCTGGATACTGTTTCGCGCCACTGTGCGCGCACCCAGCAGTGCCAGTCACTCCCCTCCAGCTTCCGCAATGTCCTCTCAAACGGGACCACCAAACTTCATTATCTTTGGCGAGATGGGCGTCGGCAAGAGCTCGTTGGTAAATCTCATTGCTGGGACCAACTTGCCGAGTCCTCGTCCGGCGCTCAATCATGCACACTCGAATCAACCGAGTATCCGGTCACTTTTCGGATTCCCAGCTTAATGTAAATCTATTTGATACAGTAAGTGGACGCAATGATTCCCAGCGTGTGGGTATTCTAATCCAAAAACAATCTAGGTGGGCTTGGACAGCCCCACTATGAATAACGCGGGGTATTTGGATGCCCTGGTGAAGGCACATGAGCTCATCGTCTCGCTCAAGAACCGAGGAGGTGTACATGGCCTACTTTTCTGCATGAAGGCTGGCAGAGTGTCGAACACTATGCAGCAGAACTACAGATTATTCTACGAGTTCCTATGTCAGGAACAAGTGCCCCTCGCTCTGGTCATCACCAATCTTGAGAATGAGGAGAATATGGACGACTGGTGGACGAAGAACAGGGCACATATCGAAAATTCGGGCATTGTCCCCGTCACGCATGTCTGCATCACAACCATTAAGGGCTTCCAAAACGCATACCAAGCCAGATACCTCGAATCCCGGAAGAAGGTGCTAAATATGCTTAAGGAACTTGGAGATCGTGATCCATGTTCGGTGGACGTGAGCAGTTGGTTTGCGCGGATGTGCAAGAAGCTGCGGGAGTTTTTGGTTCCGACGAAGGGGTTGGGGAGGAGTCGTCAAAAGATGTTACAGATGCTCACGAAGCGTTGCAAGCTGCGCAAGGAGGATGCGGTGCATCTTCTTCAAAGGATTGACGCGGATGATGTAGGGGCTTGATTAAATTTAACAAACGTCATGCTCATATATTAATATCCTGAAGGCCTGATAGGCTATCGAGTATTTAGTACTAGTACTTCATCCAAGCATACCAGCATTTCTTATTCATACAATACAATACTACCGTCTGGTGATTGATCCGAGTGTTATCGGATCACTCTGCTCGAATTCGACGCATATAATGGACGTTCACATCGATCCCTCTTGAGCTTGAATTTGCAGTAGTAACCTCGTTTGGTTCCCCTGAAATTGTTCTAGTCTCTCCTAGGCAGCCTGTGACCTTGGCGACGACAATGCATTATGCAGTCGTTGCTATATCAGGATTCCTAGGTTTGTTCCTTGATTCAGGAACAAACCTAGGAAAACGTTTACTCCTATATCATAGCCAATACTTGCGCTCATTGTCACTGCATTCTGTAATTGGCCGCGCCCGAGGCTCTTCCCACTCGGATAAGCATATAACTATATACCTTGCTGGCAGGAACTAGTACCGGCAGTCTCCAACATGACTGAGCAACTCCCCCCGTATACTACGCTTCCACAGCCAGAGCCCGAACCACCGCAGTATACTCTTCCAGAGACATTCAACATCGGACGATGCAACACGCAGCACCTCGTCCGCCCAGATCAGCTCAAGGCCCATCTTCAGCTTCTGGCAGCGTTCAGCCACCTTAAGCAGGGGTCGTTGCCAGCGAGAGCCTTATCGCAGGATTAGAGTCGGACAGTGAGAAACGTTGGGTATGGTTCGTCAATTTGGCCGTTGAACGGTGCGTGCCTCGCCTGCGTTGTGCGTGCGCTTGCACTGGTAACTCACTGCACTGGTGGAGCGCAGGTTCGAGAGGTGGTGTTTGACAATCAAGCAATCTGATACAGTAGAGCAACGACTGCCTCCCATTGATGTCACCATGGTGTGGCACTCCTATCTCCTGAATCCGAGGCAAGCATGTCTTTAATTCTTCATAAATAATGAATCTAACGTTTTTCGGTCACATCCGCAGCTGGTATGCGGAAGACACCGCGCGGATCTCCAAGCTCAAACCTCTCGCTCATTTCACTGATTACTTTCCTAACCTCCTCGTGCGCCACAACACTTTGAACGATGTCCCGAGCTCGCTGAACGTTATGCTAGGTCAACCATGATCTACTAACCACTGACGCACCACAACATGAACGTGTCTCTGCTTGGGAGCGCCGTACCAAATTACCGTATGATCCATTTGCATCTGCTGCGGATCTCACACACAATCTATCGAGTGCCCATACTGTTATCGCACGGTTCTTTCGCGTATGTCCCTTGTGCTTGCATGGCATGGGAATCCATTCTGAAACCAGCTGTAGCGTTCTTGCAGCCGAACGGGAAGGGATATGCCCAGAGCAACTTTAGTGTCGAGTGTGAATGTGCTCAACAATTACGAAGGAACTTCTCGGGCTATACAAGTTTGCGAAAAACATAGTTGAACCAACAGCGCCTGATACATATCTGGCGTGGGTGTCGCTTTGCTGACCATGTTGAACGACATCTAATATAATCTTATACACACAGTGCAACTCTACATACACCACGTAACATCTACGACACTGGGCGCGGAGACACGATCAAGAAGCGCGTCCTCAGCTCGTATATCATTTTCCAGAATAACGAGGCAAGTGATCCCGTGCGCCAGATCTTGATAAACGTCCAGTATGACGCTGCGCGCATGCGTACCGTACTGAACAAGCATTTGAAGCCAAGATTGTATGTCTTATTTTTGTTGCAATGAATACATTTTCTCAATTGAGGGACAGGTTGAATAAGATCATGGGTGCCTACACGGACGACAGGGTGTTTTCACTCGATTTGGTCGGTGCTGTAAGCAGACCCTCACGTTAATTGTATTCAAGGACTGATGTACGAATCTAGGTCCTCCGACAAGCATCGTTTGTGAAGAAGATGGTCAACCTTGGGTGGACCGAGCCAGGATATTTTGCTAGCGAGGTAGATACAGTGGCGCTGCAGCATTGCATAGCTCGGTATCACGCGTGCGTACTTGCTTCTTTTTCTACGGACTGCACAAAACATTGCTCTGCAGCTTTTTGAACATCATGGCAGAGTCTCCTGCCTCGTTCTTCGTGCCCACGCTCGACATCGATCTCGGGTGGCATACCCATCAACTCATGGCGAGTCAGTATCAAAATGACTGCCTCTCGCTCGTGGGACGATATGTTAATCAGTATGTGTTGTCATACAATGCGGAACACGCATAATGAATACGCATTTTTCAGTGATGACAAAGTGGAAGAAGGTCAACTTGCGACCTCCTTCGACATTACCTGTCGTGCTTGGAACGTAAGCTATTTCCCTTGGAATACGATATTCCCATTAAACTCCTCTAAATCATAGGACCGTTATCGCGTACCCTACTGCACTGCGGGTGTCCACTGCCAGGAGACACAATCGGCCAAAGCTCCGACGCCTCGTCTCCTCTCAACCACCAGCAACGTGCTTTTACTCCCTCCCAAATCTGACGCACGTGCTGCTACGCACCCAAGTGATCACAACGCCGTGTTTGCCCTGCACAATATGTCCGCAAGCCTGCGTCAACGGAAGAACCGTGCACGCAAGGCAGAGATCCGGAGACTGCGTGCAGAGCGGAACGGGAGGGCTGTGAAGAGGGATGGGGATGTTGATCATGGGATTGCATTTTTGTATCCTGTGCCGATGTTCTATTACTACGTGGTGATGCGTTGCTGCTGCTGGAGCGGTGGTGAATGGAGGTTTGGGGTGTGCAGCGGTGAGTGTCGTTGTGTTTGGATAATGAGGGATGCTGATATCAGGTTTACAGGGGGCAGGCGGCTGCTCGATTGGTGCTGGTGGTTGTGGGACGGGATGTGGTGGTGCTGTGGAGGCGGGGGTTGTGGAGGCGGGAATGTTTTGGAGGCGGAGGTGGGGGGGGTGGTTGTGGAGGCGGAGGCGGTTGTGGAGGTGGAGGCGGTTGTGGGGCGGGGGCGGAGGCGGCTGTGGCGGCGGGTAAACCAGACTGCCTGCAACATTTTCTTGAATCTTAAATGTCTCTATGTAAGCTTATCTGTAAGATATTCGTCCGGGATCAGATATTGTACTATATATTGATTGGTCTTCATAGCATCACGACAATACAACTTCGCGCTAGCCAACAGTACCGTTATCAATTCCCATGATCGAGAACATCCTCTGCATCTGCGAAACGAAGCGGCATGTGCTTGTGCGATATATATCACTAACATCCCGAAATTGAACATGGAAATGCACGTGTGAAGGAGGTCGATCAACAACGTTGTCGTAGCCTGGATCCTTTGTTTAGTAAGGCAGACGTTCCGGAGGAACTTCGTCACCTCAGTCTCGAGATCCTTGAGTTGACAGACTTGCCGTAATGTTTGCGAAGAACTCTCATTGAAAGCACCATAATGATTCAGCTATTGCTCAGACATAAAGACAAAACAGCATTGATGTATTCCTTCTTATAATTCTGTCGTGTCTTTCCTGCTAATGAATGAGAGACCCTCTGGGTTTTGTGAGCGATTCAGCGATTCCAAGGAATGTTTCAGCAAGTTGAACCTAAAAACATGTCAAGTGGGCTTGACGCTCGCCGCTGGATGAAATGCATACCGTATCTAAGGCTTCTGTGTATGAGGACGTGTAACTGCTGGGGGCCAAGTGGTCTCGTGGGGCATTGTTCTGGATTCAAGAGCGACCTGAAACATCCTTCTCAATGTCGCGGAATGTCTATTTGTGCCAAAAGACACGGAGTGGAAGGATAGTGCTTTTCTATATCGAAGTTAGGAAATCAATGAATCAAAAGAACAGCCACAAACCCGAGGCGGACTGCAGCGTGGCACAAATCTTGAACAGTTTTGGTTCTCGATAGGGCACTCGCCATCCGACAGAAAGATGATAACAGGAGTTCTATAGTATACACCTGTAAAACATTGTACAGATCAATCGATAATCTGGGACTCACCTCTCCGTGCTCCAGTGTTGCTCCACACTGACTGGGCACGTTGAATCGCAGCAGTGAATTTGTGCCTACCGAAGTGTTGTGACGTATCACAGCGTCTAGTAGTGGTCAGGCGAGCTGGAGAAGTCGTTCACCACGACGTCCACAACGGACCGATCAAATAGGATGATACTGTAAGATCTCGTCTGGCTGATTGTCGACCAGCAACTGCCGCAGCTCGGGCAGACCAAAAGCCGTACAGGGACGAGAGAACGCGCCAAACTGTTGTTAGAACGTTGGATAATTCTGTCTGAGGCAGGAGTATTCCTGAGAGGTGTCGGTCTGTCAATCTCATAGCTAGATCTGCCAATAGTCAGCATGCGCTGTGATATTCAA